TCTTCTTCTTCTTCTTCTTCTTCTTCTTCTTCTTCTTCTTCTTCTTCTTCTTCTTCTTCTTCTTCTTCTTCCTCTTCTTCTTCTTCCTTCTTCTTCTTTCTACTTCCTCTTCTTGTGCTTTTCTCTCCCCCCCCCCGGCCTCTTGCCCTCTCTTTGTCATATGCCATAGCAGCTAACCGGAACCTCTAGTAACAACGTGGTTAGGGACGGCATCAGCAGTAGTGAAGGCAGTGAGTGGAACAGCACAATCCCTCCTGCCCTGAAATCAGCAGCATGAGAGAGGGAAGCAGACAGGGGATTTAAGCAGCCTTGGGCAACAGTGTGACAATGAGAAGGAAGGCCCCACTCCCCCTACTGGAAAGTAAAGGGAAGTGGGACCGAGCAGCCTTTGGCTGTCTCCATGGCCAACTGGGAGACCTACGCAGAGACAAACAGGGTAGGGTGACAGGGACACGTTGCTGAGGGACATCCCTGAAGGAGCTGGCTGAAGACCGGCCCACCCCCACACCTGGAGGCCAAGATCAGTCGCACAACCACCACTAATCCTACTGCAGACTTGGCGGGGTTACCCAGCACAGTTTTGGGATCTGACATGGGTACTACCACAGAATTGTGGTATTCCAGCAGAGGAATTTTATTGGTTTTTTTTCTTCTTTCTTCATTGCTTGCTTTGTTTTACTTTTTCTATCTAGCATTTTATATGGTTCTTTAGGTTTTCAATTTTATTGTTTGTATTTTCCACCTTTTTTCCCTCTTTCCTCAACCACCTTCCTTGATTTTTTGATATTTTCATATGAGTGAACCTTCTTTCTAATCCTTCTGGTTTGCTTCAATTTACTTTTGCCTTCATTCTTTCTCTCCTGTTCTCTTCTCCAATGTCTCAAAGCTTAGGTGAACATCCTTGGTCTTTCATCCTTGTTTCTACTATATTTCTCTTCATTTATTTCTCTGTTTTGTTCCTTATCCCTCTTAAATTTCTCCCTCATAGGGGAAATTCACTCTACTACAGGGAAATTTCACTTCATACAACTTCCTGATTTATGTAGAATTTTGGCATATAACTGTAGCGCTTGCTCCTACAGTTAAAGGTACCAATTAATAATTACCACAGTTTGTCAGTTTTTAGGTAGTGCTTGATGCTATTATAATTGTTTATTGTAATTCTTTAGCCAGGATGTCACACATGTTGCAATCAGTTGTTCTTCCTTGTATGACAACACTGTTATTGTCTGCAGCCATAACCATTACCATAGTCCAGTACCAAAGAACTAGGCACTGAGCCAAATAGATAGCAGCTTCTCATCCCTGATAAATTGGGAAGGTAGGATCTTGAGACAGACACAAAGACCATGGTCCACCTATACCTAGAAGACATCTCTGAGGAACAGACATCCTCCAGAGAAGTCATGATATTAGTGATAAAGCTATCTACCATATGAAATTTATAAGCATCAATATAGAAAACAAATTAAAATTTTAAAAAATAGAAAATGAGAAGACACAGAAGTAAAATGCAATCCTAGACCTCTAGACCACCCAAGGCAAGTCCAGAGGACAATGAGATAGGAGAAATCAGAAGCCAATAACTTGAATTTTCTGAAATGGTAGCAGCAGAATTACAAAAGCAGATAAATGAGGATATGGAGAAAATCAGATCAGAAATAATCTCTTGGGTAAAAAAAGAGATAATCAAAATGAAAGAGTTGCTCAGTGAATTCAGAGTAGACACACATAAAAAATAGTTTAGGAAAATGATAGAAAGCATGAATGTCCAACATAGAAAAGAGATAGAATTCATGAAACAAATTCAAACAGGTATCCAGGAGACTAAACATTCCACTGAAAGCATATACAGGCAAATGAACCAAGATGAGGACAGAATATCAGATCTAGAAGATAGAATTGTATGTAGCAAACAACAAGAAAGATTTCTTAAAAATAGCAAGGGACTATGAAAAATCAATTCAACAGCTGCAAATTGATGCAAAGAAGAACAATGTAAGTTTGATCAGTTCAGTGAGAAAGGAGATGATAGCTCAAACACCATAAAAAACCTATTCACAAAAGTAATGGCAGAAAACTTCCCAAGCATGAAAAAAGAATTTGGTATATAGATAAATGAGGAATACAGAACTCCAATTAGCAATTGCCAGAAGAAATCTACACCAACAAATATAACAATCAATATTCCAGAAATTCAGCAAAAGAACAGAATATTAAAAATCTGTTATTAGGGAAAAGAAACAGATCATGTATAAAGGAAAGCCCATCAGAATCACAGCAGACGTCTCAACACAAACCCTTATGGCACGACGAAGTTAGAGTAAAGTATTTCAAGTCATACAAGAAAACAACCTCCAACTCATACTGATGTACTCTTTCCAACTTAATGGAGAAATAAGATAGCTCTATGACAAGGAACAACTGAAGAAACTCATGACCTCCAAACCAGTTCTCGAAGATGTTCTGAAGGATATTTTAGAAAGAGATAAATGGGGCTGGGGATTTAGCTCAGCGGCACAGCGCCTACCTGGCAAGATGAGGTCGTGAGTTCAATTCCTGGTACCAGAAAAAAAAAAGAGAAAGAGATAAACAAGACTACAACCCCACAACACCATTAGAAAGTATCCACCAGGCAAGGCAAGCAATTAAACAGAGGAGGGGAAGACAACAAACTGACAAAAGGAAAATAAAATGATTAGGATAAGTCAATAAATATCAGTTATAACCATCAATGAAAATGATCTCAATTAAGTGAAACAGACAGGCAGGGTGGATCAGGAAACAAGATGCAAGAATATATTGCATTAAAAGAACACATTTAACTCAAAAAGAAATTCATAGACTGAAAGTCAAAGGATGGGAAACAACATTTCATGTGACAGGATTCCAGAAAAAAAGCAGGAGTAGATATTCTACTTGCACACAAAGTGAATTTCAATCCAAGACTGATCAAAAGAAACAAAGAAGGTACTACATACTTGTTAAGGGAAAATTACAAGAAAAACAAGAGATAACAATAATGAATATATATCCACCAAATACTGGCACACCCAACTATATAAAACAAATATTAACAAACACAAAAAAGCAAACAGTACAACACAATTATAATGGGGGACCTTAATAGCCCATTGTCACAAATAAATCAACAAAGACAAAAGGCAAAAAGAAGTATCAGAACTGAACAATACATGTGAACAAATGGACTTAGTAGATGTCTACAGTGTTCTACCCCACAACAACAGAATATGCATCCTTCTCATTTGCACATAAGATGTTTTCAAAAATAGACCATATACTAGTTTATAGAAAATGCTTAAATAAATGCAAAGGAATTAAAATTATCCTACTCCTATGATCAGCCTATAGTGCAATGAAATTGGAAATCAATGGCAAAAGAAACCCATAAGAGCTTCATAAACAGGTGGAAATTAAAGAACACTCTCCTGAATAACCAATGGGTCACATGAAATTAAAGAAGAAATTAGACAGTTTTCACAATAAAATGATAATGACAGTGCAACATACTAGAGTCCATGTTACACAATGGAAGCAGACCTATGAGGGAATTTTATCGTGGTGAATTCCAATATTAGAAAAACAGAGCAAGCTCAAATAAATTACCTAATGTAGAACCTTAAGCTTCTAAAAAAAGAACAGCAAGTCAAGCCCAAAGCTCATATGAGGGAAGAAATAACAAAGATTAGAGCAAAAATTAATGAAATTGGGACTAAGAAAATAATACAAAGAATCAATAAATTGAAGGCTTGCTTTTTGATGAAATACAATTGATAAACTCTTAGCAAACCTTATCAAAAAAAGAAAGAAAGGTCTCAAATCCATGTAATTAGGAATGAAAAGGGTGAAATCATAACAGTTCCTGCAGAAATCCAGAAGATGATCACTGCGTACTTTAAGAACCTTTCTTCTACTACGGTGGAAAATACAGAAGAAATGGATTCCTGAGTATATGTGAATTACCAAACATGAATCAAGAATATATAAAAAGTCTAAATAACCCAATATTAATCAATGAAATTGAAGATGTAATTACAAACTTACCAACAAAAAAAAGCCCAGGTCCTAATACATTCAATGCTGAACTCTACAAGAAATTTAGAAAAGATCTAATACCAATACTCCTCAAACTCTTTAATGAAATTGAAAGGGAAGCAATTTTGCTAAAGTCAATCCTGGAAGCAAGTATTATTCTGATAGCAAAACTAGAGAAAGATCTAACCAAAAAAGAGAACTACAAGACAATTTCCCTCATGAACAAAGATGCAAAAGTGCTCAGTAATATACTGGAAAACAGAATGCAGCAAATCATCAAGATTATACACCATCAGAAGTAAGATTCATCAAAGGAATGAGAGGATGGTTCAACATATGCAAATTCCTTAATGTAATACACAATATCAATAGAGCCAAAGGAAAGCAAAATCACACGATCATCTCAATAGATGCAAAAAAAAAAAAAAAAAGCATACAGTTCTGGAAACATTAGCCAGAACAATTAGGCAAGAAAAAGGAGTAAAAGGAAAAAGATAGGAAAGGAAGAAGTTGAATTATCGTTATATGCAGATGACATAATACTCTATATAGAAGACCCCAAACTTCACTAAAAGACTTCTAGATATAATAACCAAATTTGGCAGTGTAGCTGGATACAAAATCAACACTTAAATATCAATAGCATTCCTGTACATAAATAATAAACTCACTGAGAGAGAAATTGGGAAACCACAACTTTCACAACAGCATTAAAAAAATGAAATACTTAGGTATCAGTCTAACAAAGTAAAAGATATCTACTCTGAAAACTACAGTTATCTGGAAAAGGAAATTGAAGAGGATATCAGAAAATGGGAAGATATTGCTTGCTCTTGGGTAGGAAGAATTGACATAGTGAAAATAGCCATATTCCTAAAATTATTGTACCAATTTAATGAAATCCCAATCAAAATACCAACAGCATACCTCACAGAATTAGAGAACAAATGCTAAAATTTACTTGGAACCAGAAGAGATCTAGAATACTAAAAACAATTTTGGGCAACAAAGGTAGGTGAGGAGGCATCACAACCCCTGAATTTAAATTATACTACAAGGGTACTGTGTTAAAACCGCGTGGTACTGGCATAAGCATATATTTGATGTAATCCATCCATGTATTTGTTCATCCATCCTTCCACGCACTCACTTGTTCATTTAGCACATGAGATATTCTTGGCTTAGTATTAGGTACTGAGAAATCAAAATTGACATGACATTTGAAAGTAAAGAAGCCACAGCATACATTTACTGAATTAAAATGTAATTGTTTTGGTTATACTTCTCGCATTGTTATGCTGTGGTAGTATAACTAAGATAGTGACTTCATAACAGGTTTCCACTGTAGCACGTGTTTTATACACCAAGTGTTATGGCTCATATCTAGAGAGCCTCCAAATCCTCATGGACTCATAGTTGGGACTTCCTGGAGGTGGCTGGATTTAGGATGTGCAAATGTAGATTAAGGGTGTACTACTGGGATTAAAGGTGTGTGGTACTGGACTAGTCCACCAATTATTATAGCTCTGGGTGTGGGCAATGGGAACGCCTACCCTAGGTATGGGTGGCATCACCTAAAAGGCTTGTAGCCTGGATGGGATAAAAAGGACAGGGAGACTTGCTTTGGTGTTTGCTGCTTGCTGCTGTCCACCTCCCATGCCATGAACTTTTTCTCCTCTGTGATGGCCCTCTGCCAAGCCACCCCACCTTGGTACCAGCTGAAACCTCTACAGAGATAAAATAAACCTTTTCTCTTTTAACTTGTGACTGTGGGATATTTTGTTCCAGCAATAAGGAAAATAACTAAGCCACCAGATAAATGGAATTTAAGACAACGTGCCAAGCAAGAAGTCAGGCTTACGATTTTAAAGCATGTCCTATAAATACCACCCACCTGCAGTGGACTAGGATGGGAACACTCTTGTGATACTTATTCCCTTCTGTGGAAGTCTTCTTGGGAAGTTTCTGTTTAAGGTTTTGAATCATTGAAACTAGCTCTTTGGCTTCTGCAGGGAGCTGGCCCACACTCCAGTTAGTATATTGGTACTGGTACACAGTTCGAGTGTCTTTCCTCTAAAATTAGAAGTGAGCAGAACATTAGCTCAAGTGAGGGTCAATGAAGTTTATAGTGTGATGGTCACATATTCTTCACAATTGCCCTCATTCAAATATTTCAACTTTTCTGTACCATTATATAGATGGTAGTTTTGCTTACATAAAATATTTTATGTATTAGCAGATTAATTACACAAAAACAAATATTCTCAAAATTGTGTATATATATTTTTTTACCTTAGAATATCTCAGTTCAAATTCTCGGACAGTATACATTGGTGATATACTTGTGTCTTTGATGTCAACCTCTAAATCTCCATGTGTTTGTTTCCCCTCTCCCCAGTATTGAGCACAGATTTCCTAGAGAACAAAGAACATGGTTAAACAACTTGAACAAAACTTTGTTTGCTATATAAAATATTCATGGAAACTCTCTCTGTCTCTCTGTCTCTGTCTCTCCATCTCTCTCCTTTCATTTCCTTCCCTATTTTCTATCAAATAGAAATTATTAGTTGTATTTTAAAGTGAAACCTGCCGATAAAAACTAAAATCTATTGTAAGTATGGTGAGCACTCATTTAACATGGAGTTTCATTGTGCAAGTCAAGGAAACCTAGCAATAATCAAGATCTTCCTACACGTATGTGTTTAAGATTTCTTCCTTCCTTCCATACCCTGATCATCACCTCTTCATAATCTATAGATTGAGTTGATATTGGTCATGACATCCCCAATAACTCTGGCATGCTGTCCCTCCACTCTTCCTGAAGGAAGAGGGTTTCACATTTGGAAATATGTCTCTCTAACCTAATGACCAACATTGTGTGCAGCTAAGTTGATGGAATACATAAGTAAAAGATGAGACTGGAGTGTAAATAAATCATGAAGGAGTGTTCTGGCTCTGCAAACTGCTTTCCACAATTACTACTGACCCATGGTTGATAACAGTGTTGGACATTCCCACCTATACTTTCATTCCATTTCTTGACTTTCTAATTTTAGATAAGGGGAAAAGTGGCTGGAATTCCATGCTGAATATATGATATATATATTCCTTGTTTTAAAAAAGAAAAAAAATAACAATTTCCTATGTACAAGGGCAGGGGATAGAGAGGAGGATAGAGAGGATGTATATATGCATAGAGGCAGAGGGAGAGAGAGAAATATAAATCTTACTGCACGTTGTGACCGTTGATCTTGATTGTAAGTTTGAGAGATGCCTAGATTAGTGAAGCACGGTTCTGGCTGTGTCTGGGTAGGTCATAAGGGAGAGGCTTTGCAGACTACATCTGGCACTTGGCCCCTTCATCTTCCTCTCTGCCCCTTTCATGACTGCTCTGCTGCCTGGTTGCCATGAGTTAAGCAGCTTTCCTCCACCATGGGCTTCTGCCATGATGCTTCTGCCTGAGAGCTACCCAACCATGGACAGAAACCTCTGAAACCATGAAACCAAAATAAACCTGTTGTCCTTTAGGTTTTGTATGGTAGGTATTTTATCCTGGTAATGGAAAACTGGCCAGTATCATTGTTTATGAGCATTTACCTTGAATAAGACTTAAAATATGTTGAGATATGTCAAATAACATGGTAGTTACTAAGAAAAAGTAAAACTAAAAACTAAGTGGTAGATGATCCACTAGTAGGGAAATTTTAATGAATGGTAAAAATAATTATACATACATATATGTGTGTGTTTATGTCTGTTTTGTGGCAATAAATATGACATATGAATTAGGAAGGAAGAATATTGTTAATTTTCTCAGGGATATTGTCTTGCCAACAAGTAGGATAAAGAAAAGAGAAGACACATGTAGGTATATGGAATGCTATTAAATTAAGATTCGATGCTGAGCATGCAAAATCATGTGCTAAGACTCAATCTATAAACCTATCAGCACAGAGAATGTGGAATACATAAAAGTAAGAGGAAACTAAACAGATATAGAAGACTAGGTTTGTTTGTTATCATAAAATGTCAGAGAGTTCAGATTTTATCTGGAAAAAAATAGAAAATATAGTCACTATTTGTTGTAAAACTGAAATTGCTGTGTCTTTGGTAATCTAAGAGCACTGTGCTAGACTAAAGAGGGGGCCACTCTGAGATATCAGAATCCAGACATAAGATAACAGAGGTCAACAAGTGGCTGGAGAGCAGAAGGTAAACAAAGACCCTTGTGTGACAGACTGATTAAAATAATGTCACAGAACAACCAAGCAAGTAATCCAAGAACAGAGAAGTGCATTTTATCACAGACTTTTTGAAAAAGATCCTCAAATTGCAAACCTGGTCTCCATGCATCAGCTCTGTCAACATAACGATAACTTTGACTTTTCTTTGGAATATCATCTGCCAGAAGTCACCAATGGTCTCTTTTAGAGGTCCTTGAGCAGCAATCATCATTTCTGGTTTCCAGTAGCTCTTTCAAAAAAAATAAAAGTGAAGCCTTGTTACTATTGCTCAGAGAACTGTGAATTCTTAAAATAACTATTGGGAAAAACAATCCTTTAGTTTGACATCAATGGTGTTGCAGAAATATATTAAGATTCTTACATCCAAGAAAAAGTATCTAACTATAATATATTTATGCAAATAATTCTTAATTAATAACAGAATCAAAATTAAGACATCCAATATTTTTGTGAAATTCTTTGTTTGAATATTCAGCTTATTTTTTCTAAATATAGGTGACAAACATTTACCTAATAGTCCAGGAGAACTGAGTGAAATTTTTAATTACAAAAATATATATATTTGGATTTTTTGACAAGTTTGGTATCTGAGTCAAAACAAACATTTTTATATATTTGTCTTTGGTCCAATTTTATTCTTTAAATTAATATGGTTATAGTCCCATTTACCATAAAATATAACTATTATGACTTAGATGTAAAATGTCTCTAAATTTTCATGTGTTGACAGATGTGGTTTGTGAAAGGTGATTGAATCTGGGGCATCCTTTGAAGGATATTTATCTGTCTCCCCGGCTTTTCCTGCCCTCTCTGCTCCCTGGCTAACATGGGGTTGAACAGCTTTCCTCTGCCATACCTTCCACCTTGCCATTTCTGCCTTGGAACTGGCCAACTATGAATTGAACTCTCTGAAACTGTGAGTCAAAATAAACCTTTGTGCTTTACAGTGTGTATGTCAGGCATTTTGTCTCAGCAATGGAGAAGTGACTAAAGTGATTAACATAATAACCAACGACATTAGCGTATCCTGGGTTGGGGAAATATAAATACCCACCATTACAAAAGATGCATTGATATATTTGCTTGTTTCTTCTGCATCACTGTCATCATCAGACGATTCATCTGAATCATGCTCACTCTCTTTGCTCATTTCCAATTCATGTTTAAGTGTCACTCTGTTAAAGTCATCTATATAAAATAAATTAGTAGTGAGTCTTTCTTTAAAACTAATAAGGACTGGGGATGTAGATCAGTGGTGGAGCACATGCTTAGCACATACATGTAGTCCAATTCTCAGCAACATCAAAAACACTAAAAATAAAGATAATCAAATTTCTACATGACTGACATGAATTAAAAAGTAATTCAAAATTAAATGTGTTAATCTAAAGGTAATGAAATATTACCTAAAATTCAGTACTCTTTGATTAACAAATTATTTTAAGATATTTGAATAAAATGAAGTGTCAAAAGGGTTACAGGAAAAAAACATCAAATATTTAAATAATGTTCCAAATGGTTATTAGTCTTTAATACATATACTTTAGATTTCCATGGAATATCATCATTCTGCTGATAAAAGTTTAAAATAATTCATAGCTTAGCTTTTGTTTTTCATTTATATCCTATTAACATTAAATTAAGTCTTTGTTGAATAAGAGTCATGGATTATTATTTAGTCCAAAAAATTATTTAGTCTAAAATTCCTCCTAGTTTTTCAATATCTTAAATTTATAATAACCTGGCCAAATGATCTGTTTAACTGCATTACTATCAATTTTGTATTTTAACTATATCAATGGGGACTTCTGTAGAAATTAAATTAACTAGGTCAGCCATGCACTGATTTGAATTATTTGGTTGTCTAGTTTATCAGATTGGCTTATATTTTATCCGTGCTAATTTCAGTATGTTCAGCTGAAAAAAAAAAAAAAAAACCATAGTACCTAATTTGATCCTATAAATATTGTTAAATAGTAAAATTTAAGTCATGAAAATTGTACATATTTTAATCTGTTAAATTTAATGATTGGTAATTTACAGAGTATTTTCCATGCACTTCCAGCCTTCCAGATATAAGCGATAAGGAAAAAGCATAAGGACAGCAAAGTACATTTTTTACTAAAGAGGAAAAAAAAGTAAAAGAGGACATTGGTCTTTGTCTCTCAGATTCAAAGTTTTTGTCTTTCTTAAAACTCATTTCTGAAATAATTGGTAGAAAGAAAACACTGAATACAGTTTATCCAGAAAAGTCCATTGAAATGCTTAGGGTTCGGATAATTTGTTATAACTAAAATTTTAGTTTACTGACATTTCTATTGTCAACCAATTGTTGAAATTTTGCTTCAAGATCATTCATGTGTGTCTCTCATTAAACAAATGCAAAAAGAGCTTAACTTTTTCTCATATCAAGAAATTTAAAAGATAACCACATACATGGAATAACATGAGAATTTCTGTTTTTCTTTTTATTTTCCTCTTGATTTCCAATGTGCTGTGTCCTCCAGCTTCTATAGGAAGGAAGTCTCTGAGGAAAAACGTAGAATGAAAAACTCTTTTAAAATTTAAATATACATTAGCTTAACTCATTGCTGTGATATAAAATACTCCCTATAGGAAAAGCATTTAATTAATTTTTGTAAAATTTGAATTTACTGCTAATCATAGGTATAAGTTTGAAAGTGGATTTTTTCCTCTTAATCTTTTCAGGTATTTAGTATATTTGACATGATGAGTTGAAACTTAAAACATAAAATTGTCTAATAAAATACACTGTTAATAGATGCTTGATAGTAAAGTAGTATGACTTTATTCTTATATAAGCTGAAAGCACTAGACCAATGTTAGTTATTACCCATATTGAAAAATTAATGGTAAATAATTTTAAATTATCAGGAGGAAACTTGGCAGACACTGCTGTCATGGAAAACTTGATGTTTCAAATCTAGTAGTTCCAGCTTGCTGCCCCTCTTGCTCAGAGTAGTTAGGTGCCAAAATCTATCTTTTCTTTTGGTGAAGATCACAGATTCTTATAATATATTTCTCCCTACTTAATCCAGCCCATCTTCTTTTCTCACTTGGAAAATATCAACAATTTCACAACTGGACCTTTCAGTCAGTCTTACTGAATCTCAACGTTGTAAAACTCAAAATAAAAGATGCCCATCTTAGGCTCTTCAGCAGCTTCCTGTCATCCTTAGAACACAGCAAACCTCCTTAATATAGGGTAAAAAGTCTTGAGGGATATGCCTGTGACTGTCTTTCCAGCCTTATCCCTTATTAGGATTTTCCACACTTGGGCCAAACCAAATTCCTCTATTTTTAGAAAGGGCCACACTATCCTTGAGTTCTTGCAATCTACTATGGTTTGGATGAATGTTTCCCAAGGGACAAGATGCAAAGTCTTGACCTCCAGGATGGTGGTATCTGAAGAGGATGGTGGTATGGACATTGAAGAGGATGAATGTAGTGGAAATTCTTAGGATATGTTCTCAAATGGGATTATGGATCTCTCTCTCTCTCTCTCTCTCTCTCTCTCTCTCTCTCTCTCTCTCTCTCTCTCTCTCTCTTCCTCCCTCCCTGCCTCTCTCTCTTTCTGAGAAAGCTCCTCAGGTACCACTCAGTAAGATTTTACATACACACACACACATATGCTTGTGAGTATGGCTGTGTAATTGAATGACAAAAACATCGTCACTGAATATCAAGCCATGTGAACTCCATCATGAGCCATGTGGAAAGCCACCTTCTTTGGAAAACACCACAACATTTTATGTTTTGTGAGATATCACCCGGTAGGCACTGCTCTCTGGTTCACAATACCCAGGATTACAATGAAACTAATGGTTCACTCTCCCTTGAGACAGAAAGGATTCTTCACTCTTCAATCCCTGCTTGTTTCAATTATCACCACAGGTGTACACCTGTCAGTGCAAGCACATTGCCTGATCTTTATTCTGATATCTGCAATTCTGTGCCTTGCATCTCACTAATCAGTGCCTTCCTGTCTGCCCTCTGGTGTCCACAGTCTAACATCACCAAATCCTCATCGGTCTTAATCGTCTTCTCCCAACAGTCCCTTTATTTTGCTTGCAGGCAACACCAAGAACTGATTTATCTCTTCCCCATCTCATTCCATCCAGTTTACAGTCTCAAGAAGAGTTGTGTGCTCACTTTGCTCCTTGCTTCCACTTGCAAGCCAGTTTTTTTCATTTTATCCTCAAAAAATCCAATGACTTTGATTTTCTTTCCATCATATTGGACCAACTTAAGCCACTGCTCTTCACCTGAAAATGTCAGGTATTACCGATTTTGGGGTGACTCCGCCCTATTTGGTTCAATGCCTGGCTAACTGTGTGCTTTTCCTCCCAAGGTGCATCATCCCTCTTGTTCCTTCAACACTGACAAGGATGACGCAGCCAGCATTCTCATCTACTTTCTCTCATGCTCTTCACGTGGCAAACTCACTGCTCCCATCCACTACTATAATCATGTGTAAACACTCTCAGCTCCTTCCCCTCCTTGTTGTCATCTAGTCAGTTTTCAAAATCTAGACGGAATTAACCCAGCCATCTACATGAGCAGCCCCTCTCCTAGAGACCCAAATGTTGCTGTGGAAAAAAAATCCATTCAATTAGTGATTGCCCTTAAATTTATAGTCATAAATTTCAAATTATCAAACAATAATTTCTGGTAATCTGAAGTGGTCTCCTACATCGAGGTAAATATTTCATACTTTTTCCCTTTCCTTACCCCTTAGGCTCTGCTCTGCCCTACTAACTCCTGAACCGCTCTTCTCTTATTTGATGATCTTGCCTTGTATTTTCTTGAGAAATGGAAGGTAATCAGGGTTGAGGTAATGTAACGCCAGTAACCCTGATCTGGTTGTTGTACACTTCACACACGCGTTGACCTATGTATAACCATGTGTTAATTAACAATATATTATATATTTAAAAGTAATCAGGAGAGAACTACTTTAGCTTCCAATCATCTAATTTACCAATCAATCTGCATCTCTCTCCTCATTTTCCATGTTCCTGTCTGTTCAGATGGAGTAATTTCACTGCCTCCACCAGAGTTACAGCGCTACTTGGGCTTTGCATGATGCTCCTCCTTATGTCCCCCTCGTCCACCCAAAAATCATTTCGACTCTCGATTCTAGAATTGTACTTGGTGCACAACAGAAATTTCATCACACTTATTTGATTAAAAAATCTCTCTTTTGGTGACTATCCATGCAAATGTTCACCTTTAATATATAAGTATCACCAAATAGTAAATGTGCAAATGTAGGGGCTGTGTACTGATTATAGTAAATATTGTCGGCTAAAAGACCAAAAAGAAAAAACCAGAAAACAACAGCGAAATGCTCTTCTGCTTAAGACTACCTTGTCCCTGCCAATTCTATCTACAAGAATAGTTCTTCTGGGAGATTGAGTCGCTTGGTGATTATTGTCCACTCCACCTTCATCCCCCACCTCAGCCCCACTTTGATCCTGAACATTAAATGGTTCTGCATCTAATTAAAAGTGCATTCCTGGCCTTATGAAACTGTCTGAACTGACCAGCCTGGCCGTGTATAGAAAGATTCAATAAACTGGAAATCACAAGTGAAAGAGAAAAATTACAAAATTTGACAGCTACACAATTTGAGGATAGTTATGCCAACTCTCTGAAATCATGGCGAACTACATCCTCAGTTAACTGTCAGAATAATTGCCTAATAAATAGGATAGGACACACATTATTATCTTTTACTTTCTGTCTGCCAGCTCCAGCCAGTTCAACTTCCTAAGCAGTCATAAACTCCTCTAATTATTTCCTTTATAAACTAGAACCAGATGCACTTTTTAAAGGTGAGATGTGATATTGCCTATGGCAGACCAATTTCATGGCTATATACTATTATTTTGACAGTTTATTTATACCAGCTTAATGAGGAAGGGTTAAAGTGTTAGCACTGGAATCAGACTTCTGGGTGTAAGCAAGTCTCCTACATAACAGCTGTGCAGATTCAGGCATTTCTCTCAGACTCTCTGTGTCTTGGATTCCTCATCTGAGCTCCTCCGGCTATGGTGAGGACGAGATGTAAGGACTATGTTGCATGCCTAGCAAACACCTAGAAAACAGCACTTCATATAAGTTACTATACTTATTTATTGCTACCAGTATCAGTACCTGGAATTCAGCCTCTAGTGGAGATGGCTCGCTGGGTGGGTCTCTTTTCTTCATGTTATGTAGATATGAATGTGAATTTAAGTCAGCCAGATTCACTTCTGTTTCTCCAAACTGGTTGTATTCCACTAAAGCCTGATGGATTAGGATGTACTGGGCCTAAGATATCAAAAGATTACAGATAATTAACTGATGATAACATAGAGTTCCATATATCATATTTAAATAAAACATGCGTTGCCCCATTTGGGGACAATTTTTGAAAAAAAAAGGATTGATAACTGTGACATATAAATATTCTGGAAGTTGGTTCTCACAAAGCTTTTAGTATCTATGAAAATTCCACTTTCATTTTTTTCCTGGGAAAAAATAGTTTCCCAAATAGTGCATCCATTATCTACTGCATATCTTTTACCTTATGCCTAAAAGTTTTGAAAAGAGACATTGTTACCCTCCTAAGTGACTGTTACTGAATTTGTAACCAAAAGTAATAATATAAAATCTGTCATGAAATTCACAGTATGTCAGAAAAATACAAGTTGATATTCTATAGGATCCATTTTGAAAGTCTTCTAGAACTTTTTAAAATATAGAAAATTATTTAGGAAGATCTTATATACCAAAGCCAAATTTACCAACTTCAAGCTTTTTATTGTATCTTATTTGAATAGAATATTTTTAAGTAAATGACCTATTTTTGATGAGCCTCTTTACCACCTCTAGTTCCTTGAGTTTTGTTCTATCCTTCTATTCTATTTTAAATTTTCTCAAAAAGGTTCATTTTTTCTACTTAATAATCTGTTTTATATTTCTAAACTAACATCTGTTTATCTATAAGCCTATAAGCATTATGCACTGTTTTGTGTTATTGTAAAGATTAACAAGTCATATCCTATATGTTTCCTTTGTTGACTTTATGTACTACCTGTTTTTATCTGAGCATCAAGCTACACAGGTAGCTACAGAACAAGATCATTCCTTTCAGCCGCAGCATGGCCTTTATCAGACACAGTCCATACATTTGCACTCTGCTCTTCCCTTCCCCTACTGATACCTATTTAAAATGTTTCCAATTCCTTGATGTGCTAACGATGCTGAATGCAAGGAACATGCTTGCACCTGTTTCTAGTTATGCACATTTACAAGTGCTTCACTTGAGTAAATACATATGTGTCCTTTTGCCAGGTCAATTACAGACATTTCCAATAATAACTGTCACTTACCATTACCAGACGCATTGCCTGTGTCACAAACCTGTCACACGCTTCACTTTTATTTTCTTTTTTGTTATAAACCTGTTAAGTCCTACTTTATCTCTATCTTGTGACTCAACTGAGACAAAGAAATATTACCAACATGTCCAGAGATGCATAGAATTAAGATTTAAGACCCAGGATTTGAGTCTCTGGTTCTAAGAACTAGTCATCTGACCCCTATTTTATTGTGTCTCCTCAACTTTAATTTTATGAAAGTTTGCCCAATCTGATTTCAGCGCTATCATTTTCCTCATTCTAATGTTTGTAAAGGATAATTCATTTTTAAAAATGTATTTTAAGCTTTCAGATACTGAAAGCATCCATAATACTTTGAGATATTAATACGTAATGCTGGTAATGTGTGACTGGTATTACTACATGTTTTAGTTTTCAAGAAATTCAGGTAAAGTTATTTTCACAGAACTGATTGAAGTTGTGAAGAATTTAGATTTCTTTTAAATCATTACTACTGTCCCCAAAAGATTTAAGTCCCAAAACCAGAGTGGGTGTAGTCCCTAAAAGTTAGAACTTACCTCCACTTGCACCATGAGGCATCTCTGCCGTCTGAGCTTCACAACATAGCCATACACATCCACCTTGCCCTCTGCTTCCAGGCCTTCCAGCATGGCATCAATTCCAATGTATGTGCCTGTGCGCCCAACGCCAGCACTGGTCAAACAAACAAACAATTGCAGGCATGCGCAGGGGAAGGAAGTGAGTGGAAAAGTGGTCAAAGATGAAGCAGAGTTAAGAATGTAATTGTCTCTTAACATTACTCTGAACCCCATGGATTCATACAATTATAAAGTGTCAATTTACAATAAAAGTTGTTCTAAAAAATAACCACCTATTTTTACTAGTGAAATGCCTCCCAAAATTGAAATAGCCAAAGGGGAGGATGTTTCTAATACTCCATCTTGTAAGGCTTGGCTTTCCTCTTCCCTCCTTCCCTCCCTCCTTCCCCTTTCTCTCTTCTCTGTTCTAAACTCAGGACTGAAGCCAGAGACTTTATACTGAGCTATATCTCTGACCATTTTTTGTTTTTATTTTTCACACAGAATCTCACTGATCTGGTAATTTGCCCAGACTGGGCTTTTGCATGTGGGCCTCCTTCCTGCCTTAGTCTCCCAGCTTGCTGGAACTATGGCCACACCTAGCTAGGTGTAAAGATTTAAGTAGACCCACAAATGCACACCTACTGTCACAATCTTATTTTTTTATTAATTTTAAGGGTATGTGTGGATGATACATAACAATTACATTTGTTTTGAAGAATTGGTATATATATATATGATATATATAAATATATTATATCATTTTTGATCGTTTTCCACCTCCTTCCCTCCCCCAACCTCCCCTCTTCTCTTCTTATCATTCCTCAACTACAGAAAGTTCCTCTCCCAGCTTCCTGCCATTTCTCCTTTATTATACTCTCTAATTTACTCATATTGTGGGTTTCTCAATAAGTGAAACCACATGATGTTTAACTTTTTGTGTCTGCTTTAGTCCAAGTAACCTTATGACCTCGTCTTTACCTGCAGTGCACTACGATGGGGCCACTGAAGAAGTTGCTGAAAGCGTTCACTCTCCTTCTCAGCTTGAGAAGCAGGTGAGAGTCTTCAGGTACCCCATGGTCTGGCCAGCTTGTAAACTGAATGTGAGTCACCGCTCTTCCAGTTCCTTTTTCTTTTCTCTGGAGGAGAGATAACATTGATATTAGAAGACTTTTTTTTCCATAGCAAACTACATAAATATAAATAAGTGGGAGGAAAACCAGTACAACAAATTCCTCATCCAAATGCAAACTGCTCCAAAGAGTCTTCCCTCTCTGTTGCTCCAGCCCTGACTGCAGTGTCCTTTCCAGTAAATAACTAGCTGAGGAATCATGCAACACTTGCATGCACTGCACAGCAAGCACTAACTTACCAGCATCATAACATAAGGTAAATATAACAGAAACTCCTAGTAACTTTCATGCTGCAAAAAAAGGACAGAAAGAAAAATAAATGCACCTCAAAAGAGGAGGCTATGAGTGGCAAATTGGGGCTTGGGTGTATTTGTGAAAAAAATATCAACGAAAGATCACTATCACTGCTGTTCAAAATTATTCCGCTCAGTAAACATTTTTACATGCAGAAAGTTAGATTAATTACGTGGTGAACATTGTATTCCTTATGCTCTCACATAGTAGAATTGGTAACTTTAAAATCTTTTAAAAAGAAAAACATATTTTGTTTGTAATTTTCCAATAGGAGCCCAGGGATATAGCCAGTGGTATAAGTGCCTGCCTGGTAAGCACAAGTTCCTGAGTTTGATTCCTGGTTTTAAAAAAAAAGTAGTTTTCCAATAGGAAATAGCTGAGTTGATTAAGAACAGTAACCCTAGACCACTTGTTTAATCATTTAATAATTTAACCATTTATTCAACACATTTAATGGAGCCCTCTTCTTTAGCGCTTCAAAGTTGAGCATAACGGATGTTTTTGACATGACACGGGTAAACATGTCTTGAACAGTGATGTAAGTTTGACCCTGAAAGATCAGATCCCAGTTCTGAGGCAGCTCTTTCTTCTAAAGATCATTGACAATTATTGACCCATATATATTTCATTTTCTCACATTCAATATTCTACAACTACATTTTCTATTTAAAAAATCAAAAATTATGCAATAAAAGAGACTCACATTTGTAATGTTCATTTTCTGGATGATGTAATCTGGACATCTTTTGTGCTCATTGATCTTTACAATAACATCTCCATAAGTCCGAGAGCCTTCTTCCACGGAGGGCCAGTATTCTGCACACTTGTTCTAGGATTTTTAAAGGGTCACTAATGAATCTAATTTTTACTTCAAATAGCTTTTACTATACCCTGAAAAAACAAAAACCTAAACTTTTATTCATCTGAAATTCTCACAACATCTACATATTCTTTTATGAAGCACAGTTACACCTAAAGTTGTGATGCTTGAAATGTATTCTGTCTCCCTTGCATGTGTCCTGAAGGATCCCCTTCACACTACTTTCCAGAAAGATGATCTTCCCAGGATCAGCAAAACAGTGAAAGAGAACATGCTCAGTGGTCCTCAGAGAGGGGGTGATTGCTCAAGGCCTCTTTCAGGCTGGGCGATTGACAGACATTTACTCTTCCCAAGTCACATTATATGAGCTACCACCTGCCTGTCCAAGGTCAGTTTTGTTTGAAGCACTCACAAGGACTTGTGAAGTTAGGTTCTGAACTAAAACAATACTGGAATGAAACAGCAGCCAAATAAAAGCCAAGTAAGTCAAACTAAAAATTAAGATTCATTTGAACCAGCTATTCCCCTTTTAGGTACACTATCTTCCCAAAAGAATTAAAGACACAGTAATGTATGCATATCTATGTTTATAGAAATGCAATTCATAAAAGCTACATCTGGAAAACAGCCTATATGCCCGTCAATAGATGAACAGATAGAGCAAACATGGTATTGATACACAATGGAGAACTGTTCTGCCTTAAAATAGGATAAACTTGTGTTGTTTGTGGGAAATTGAATGCACCTTGAGACCATAAGCTTAAGTGAAGTAACTTAGACACACAAGTTTAAATATTACATGGTTTCTCTTATATGAAAAACTCAATGTGTATATATATATTATATATATATAATATATATATAATATATATATAAATAAAATACTGAAAATAGGAAAAAAGAAAGAGAGAAAACAGTGCAGACAATGAGAGAGACAATGTAGCTAAAAACAGTGCAGACAATGTAGCTAAAAATTTACCTTCACTTAGTATAACTGTCTTACATGTTTATATGTTCTTTGGCCTATTAGTTGGGTAATCATTCTACATATATAAAAATTAACTTTGTAAGATCTTACAAGGCAAGTAAATGAGTCTGATGCTGAGAAAATAAAGATGGGTGGGTAGACAGAGGAGGAAAAAAGAATGAAATGTGATATGTACATGTGCCAATTCTCTAAGTGAATGTAATCATTATGTACTTCAAAGAGGTACTAATAAAAGTAAAAGAAGTAGATTTTCTGATAGCATTGAAAAAAGCCAAGCAGTTTTCAAATATTTAAAAAATTTGCAAATATGCGTATATTTATATTTTTATGTAAGTGCACATTTTCTACAAGTATAAAAATTTAAATAAAGTGTCACCACTGATTAAAATAGAGAAATATTTTAGTAATCAAGCACACATCTGCAGCTTTAAGAAATTCAATTGGGCACTCCCTTTTCCCAATGCCAGCCTCCATCCCATAAACAGTCTCAATTCTTACCCTATTTCCTTCTTCACATTTAGTGACCATGACAATGACTGTGGCTTTCTGTTCCCAAATCATCCTCCAGAAATCATCAATAGTTTCATCCCTGGGTCCTAAGAGGGAAAAATTATCAGTTAAGAACTATTTCATGAAAGTGCTATAAATAATTTTTCAAAAATAATATTGATCTCACAAGTACATTACCTTGTGCAGCAATATATTTCCTGGGTTCTTTGAAACCCTATTGAAAAGATACACAAAGATGTATCATTTACTGAATACTCAATTGTTCAATAATATTCAAATTCTGATTTAGAAGTTGCTTTACGTCTGTCCTTTCTTGGTTGTAGATTTCCTAATTCTTAAGAGGATTTTTTAAATGTGTAATCAGGTATTCACTGTGCCAAACACGATAGTCAGCAGTTACAAACGATATTCATGACTCCAATGTATGCTTGATGTCTATCCCAAACAATTTTAAAAACTAGACTGCATCTTCATTTGGGATGATATAGCAATTTATAAGAGCAATCCCGATATTTCTAGTTATATCCTGTCAACTGTTACAGCACAATTAGTACTGCCTTCTTACTAGCCTTGTGATTGCTTTTAGGATTTTTTCTCCATTTCCTTCAATAAATCCCTCACAGATCACATTTGCACTTACACCTAACTACTGTTGGAACATAGTACTCACTCCCTGCAGTGCTTTTATGTCATTTCAGTTAAGTGATACAATTATTTTCATTTCATTACCTGCAATGTCTGCTCTCTCTGCTTCTGTTACTAAGATAAAGAAGGAACACAGGAGCAGGAAAATACGCTAATGTTTCCCAAAATTATCTCCTACTCTTTAAATTTACCACAGTGATAAGAGAAGCTCCAGAGAAAGGGAGGACCTTTTCCTCTGAATTAAATTTTGCACATGAGCTACAAGAATTCTTCACTTATTTTAGTAACTTGGTCTTGACACAGTATAAGTTACATTCATTTATTCAACAAGTACTTATTGAATGGTTCCAATATGCCAAGCACCTATCGAAAAGCCAAAGACATATGCTTTCCAGGGCTCCAAGTTCTGTTGGAGACAAGATAACTATAATCTGATCCCATACTTAGCATATATATATATTTAAGCAGATAATGTAGATCATGCTTTTTAATAGATTGTCTAAAACAGTGGTGCTGAACCTATGATACACGTGTCACAGTGCACTGTTTATATCCTTGAAATCTTTAAAATGTTCTTCATCATGGATCTAAGTCCTTGAAACTCTCTAACAATACCAGATCTGATCTCATTTATTTTACTCTGGAGAATAAATTACCATTTGGAAAAGACACTACACATTAAAATAAACTTGATCAGTGCTAATTGTGAGGGCCTGCAGAGGTTGGTTACTTGACAGAATAAGTTACAATAGACTTCAAGACATTGACCTAGTACTACTGTGTTAATTACTGTTTGGACTGTGATGTTACATTTACAATACTGGCTGTCACTGATGAAAAAGCTTACACATATTGTGTAGAAAGGTAATGGAATAAAACATTGCTTTATGGAATTCAGGAGCGCAGGTCAGGAGAAAAATTTTGTTGTTGTTGATTAGGAAAGATTTCCAAGGATAACATTAAACAGGGAAAGGAAAAGTACTGTATGCTAAAGTTGATGAATTACAAGATTTAAAGGGCTATCTGTAGTGTCAGAATGCTTGGGGGTAAAATTCTGGCTGTGATTCTACTAGCAAAATTGGAATACAGAGTTGGTATGAGATTTAAGTGAATGAGTATACATGTAAAGCACTAAAAGTGATGACTAACTATAGCAAATGTGTGATAAATCATAAAAGCTATTATAATCATTGATGTTAATAACTTAGTCTCAAAAAATCATTAGGTGTCTCAAAAAGGAACTATATTAACAATTAGTACACATATGTTGGAGATAAATAGTTTATGAATGATGCAACCGAAAATATTTCTAAATTCTACCACTTTACCTAAATTCTACCACTTTACATAAACTCAGTGAAATGCATGTTCACCCAGGGCCTCAGAATGTGTTCTTATTTTGAAATAATGTCTTTGTGGGGATAAGGGTTAAAATTTCTTACTGGATGAGGGTGGGTCCTGAATCCAGTGACTGAGTCCTTAGAAAGGAGAGAGATATTCAGACACAGTAAAACAGAGACAGACAGGGAAGTGGGCCATGGGAGGGAGGTGAGTTTGGAGTGACTCAACCATAAGTAAGGGACATCAAGGATTGCCAGGAGCACCCAGCAGCTAGGAAGAGGCAAAAAAGGATTTTTGCAGCACCTTCAGGGGGACTGTGGCTTTGCCAACATCTTAATTTTAGACTCTGACCTTTACAACTGTGAGAAGACAAATTTTTGTTTCAAGCCACCTAGCTTATGATTCCTGGTTACGTCAGACCTAGGACTCTAACACACTGTGGTACTGAAGTTATAATTTGAAATTTGACTCTAATTCATTGAAAATGTATATATTCAAGTAAATCAACAAGAATGAAAATGACAAAAAATGTTTCAAGTGTTTTTTATGTAAGCACGTTTTGGGGATCACTTTACACGTTAATATATATAATAGCATGACATATAATTTTTCCACTATTTGATTGTCAAAGGACTATTTTGATGACATACTCATCTGCAATTCTGTGTAGAAATAAGCACCTTCATCTACTGTTGGTTGACTGAACATTGATGCAACCCCAGTGGGGGACCATTTGAAAATTTTAAAAATTAAAAATGTATATGGCTTTGGGCTGGGGATTTAGCTCAGTGGCACAGCGCCTGCCTGGCAAGCGCGAGGTCGTGAGTTCGATTCCCAGTACCAGAGGAAAACCCAAAACCCCCCCCCCAAAAAAACAAAAACAAAATGTATATGGCTTTTGTCCCTGCAACTCCACTTTTTAGAAAATAATCCTATGGATATATTGTAACTCACTGTAGAAAAATGAGTCGAAGTGATTCATTGCATCGTTTTTGATAACAAAAGTTTAGAAACCACATTGAATGCTCATTAATTAGAAATGGGTTAAATGAACCTCAGTGCAGTTAGACTATAGAAATGGAAAGATATAAGAATGTTCTAGGACCAGGATTAGTAATCTATGGCCTACAGACTAAATTAAGTATGGCCTCATTTATAACTCAAGTTTTGTAACTTAGGCACAGTGTAGTTTGTATCTATGGAAGCTTGTCCACTCAAGATACAGTTGAATAGTCATGACAAAGATGATAGGTACACAAAACCAAAAATGTTTACTACCTTGCCCCTTACAGGAAACATCTGCTGGCCCCTGTTCTTTATAGTGATACAATATATTGACATAGATGAAGTAACAGTAGATAGCTATAAAGAAAATAGGATAGATAGATAGATAGATAGATAGATAGATAGATAGATAGATATAGACATATATAGAGAGACACAGGGAGACAGAGAGAGGGACAGAGAGAGACAGAGAGAGAGAGAGATAGAGAGAGAGAGAGAGAGAGCTAGCTCTGTACATGAACTCAATTCTCTTCACAATTCTCATCACAAACCGAACTAGACAAAAACCAAGTTAAAAGTCCCCATAAGGACACAACTGAACCTAACCACTGAATTTGATTTGGTTCTCGTCCAACTCAGTTTGGGACCAGAATTGTGGAAAGAATCAAGTTCATGAACTGAACCACCATGGTATTTACTAATATAGCAAGATTCAGAATAGTATGAATATTACTGTTAACATTTTAATATAAGGTGGAGTAGCAAATGTTGGTCTTTTCTTATTTATGTATGTATAAGGAAACTCTAGCTAGAGAAATAGTAAGCTGAAAAGAGGTTATCCCTCTGGTAGGTGGAGACACTCAGCACATGGTAGATTGGATAAGAAGATATTTTAAAAATCTGTATGTGCTTTTATATTGTTTAAAATTATTTAATTAATTGAAGCATTACTTATTTCACAACAGATAAATCTTAAAATTTTCTGTTCAGTGTCACAGACTGATATTATCATTTTGGGATAAATACATTGTGCAGACAGTCGCTGCCAATGAAGACGGTCATTGGTGTAAGACAGTGTTAACTGAAGTTTCACTGGGGTCAGGCAGACCTGAGATGAAACTCAGCTCAAATCGTATGAACTGTGTGATGAAGGATGAGGCAACTTATTAATCCTACCCTTTCAGTCTTCACTTACACCGTGAGCACAGAGCCTGTGATGTGGGGTTACTGCGGGACACATGTATATTGATCATTTTGTCCAATCTCCAGCATATAACATGTACCAGGATAGGAAGTTTTGTTTTAATCTATATTTTCACACTCACAAAAGTCCTATGTTACATAGGCCTAGTGCTGATAGGCATGTAACAACTGGTCTCATAATATTCTTGCAACTATCCTAATATATTTGTAAAAGTTTGCAAAGTCAAAAAAAAAAAAAACTAAATGGAATGTAGAGAGACAAAAAAAGTCCAAATCACCAATGAAATAGGAGAATATAAAATAATTTGGCATTTTTACTCACATCAATATAGCTAGCATTTATATAGGTTGACCCTGCATCTCCATTTATTTCAGAGAGCTCAACACGGTTATAGTCATCTGTTTAAGAAAAAGAAAAACAAATAAGTGAAATGATGAGCAATCAAGTAGTCTAAAGATACTGAAATTCTAGCCTTAACAAATACTTACAAGGAAGGATGTCAACATAGCGGTTTTTATTTTGGTTAAAAGGCTTTCGAGCATCCTTGATAGAAAATTTACTGAACACTCGTGGGATGCTCTGAAAGACACAAACATTCCTCAGGTCACACCAGATTCAGAAAAAATAGTTTTCCCTTTCGCAGTCATCAGTTTGAGTAAACGAGTCACCCTGGAAAACATTCTTTATACTGGCTAAACCACTTGTATATGGTTCTTGAAATCACCATTATTATGAAATATGCACAAGTACCATTTTTCCTAAGTAATTATAATAGATTATTTTCAGGACAAATATCATGGAAAAACAGTTTAAAATTAGTTGCTGTGCCACTTTAAAATTCATTTAAAAACTGATGCTTGGATAATTATTTGAGTACACATACAAAAATAGACAAATAGTTTTGTGACATGACTTTATAATTGATAATGATACAATAAAGCACTACACTAAAAAATTTACATGCTTTATACTGTAATCCTATCATCCTTTATGAGTCTCATCTGGCCTGTAAATATATGCTAACAATATCTGTCTTCATTAGACTAACAGATTATTTAGGCTAAATTTTAAAGGCAAATGGTCATAAAGTTACATTTAAAGCAAAATTTTATGGAGAAAAGAGTAGAATTCCTCATCCTGTATGAAGAACAACGCATACCTGAAACTCAGCCAGAAAAAGTCGGCCTTCATCAGCAATTTTTCTCTTGTACGTTTCCAGCAAAACATCCGCCTGAATTGGTTCCACACTCATCAGCTGTCTTTCATCATCTATAAGCATATTAATGATTCAGAGCCATTGTCGAGTCTATCTTTTTAATGTGCATGGAAATTTCGCTAAATTTACAACTTGGACAGAAATCATTTTTTTTCCTCCTTCCATATATTCTACCTTGGAAATCTCACATAGAAAACATTCATCTATAAATCTAAGTATTGTATATCTAAGTATTGTACTTCATTATTCTTCTGGGCTTTCTACTGTTCTTTTTACTAGAATCTACTTCCTTATTTTCTATACCTAGAGAAAAGATCCCAGATCAAATAACACCATTGTGAGTGTGTACATTTTTCCATTTGATTACATGGAGTCTATAGCAACTAATATTTATTGTTCTAGAATAATTTTACTCCCATTTTAACTTACCATGAAATATTATAATTGTACAGATGAAGTAAGCTTAATTTGATCATCTTTTTACACTCAACTGTGAAGCACGTTGTATTCATTTGTTCTGCCTCTAGAATATAAACTATTTGCCAAATAACTTACTATATAGTAAAAATACATACCCTCAAGCTCTAGAATATACATACAGCTGGAAAACAATACTACTGAAGGAGTTTTTTAAAATAAGCTGTTATATATTTACAAGTATGTATCTCCTGCTATTTCCTGTCCTGTTGTTAACTAATGTTCCCTGTTTACGATGAAAAGAAAGTTGTGTGTGAAGGTGGCACATTCATCTGATTGTCCAGGGAAACTTTCTATCTAATCAAAATTATCAAACTGACTAAGTGTTGTAGCTTCTTTGTGTTTCAGGAGATCCCCAGTACTTATTCATTCTGAACTGAGGACATATTGCAAGATTTTAGTGGACTTGAAGGGTAAATTCTAATGTACTCCAATGTGCCATCAGTATCAATTTTGAAATCAAACATTTTGATACTCTCCAACCACCCTTGACTTTGGAAGTAGATTCCCCTTATCTGCTCAGGTGCTTGTTGCTCTGTTGCTTTTCATTTTTCCCTCAGTCTAGCAAGATTGATTCTCAGGCTGTGTTATCTTGTTAATTTATTTCTTCACTGACAGGCCTTGAATCCCACAGACCCACCTAGCACTGGGGATTGACAGCGAGTGTTGCAGAAAAAGCTCCCTGCCTTTCCGAAGCATACATTCCAATTACAAGAGGGCAATCAAGAAACAAGGGAAACCCCATGTCAGGTAGTGATACAGTCTGCAAAAGAAAATAAAGCTGAAGAAGAACTTCAATGTGTCTGTACACAGATGGGTGCCTGCTATCACAGAGGACGCTCCTTAGAATATAAGCTAATGCAAGATAAAAGAGTTCTGAATTCTGCCTGTATTATGTAACAGAAGTCAAATAAGCTTCATTATTGTAAGTATAGATGGAAATGATTTAACTCAGTCTCTTTTATAAAACCAGGAATTTGTTTTGCTCTCCTAAGTCAAACTGCTGTTCTTTATCCTATCCAGAAGTGTGCCTATCGGGGGAACCACGACCATCCCACACTAGCAAGGACCTGAGAACAGTTTCCTCACCCCTGTGATGGACGAGGACTCTGTTCTATCCCCTTTAACTCTCTATTTGGTCTAGTGTCCCCTGCAATCTTAGCAGACCTTATTGATATACTCCTCAAAGTCAGTGTACAATCTCTGTGTAAAATTAGACCCGTGCAACTACTATGACCTGATAAATTACTGCCTATGTGTCAATCTGCCTGTCTTCCTCTATCAGTGCCTAACTCCTTTAAGAGTAGAGTCTGTGGTGGTCACTGTGGCTTCTTAGCTTATTGGGCAATATTTGGCACATGAAAAGAACTCCACAGATGCCCGTTTGTTGGATAAACGAGTTTAAGTTTTATCACTGTATGAGCAGAGGAGGAAGTCCAGATTAAATGTCCAATTCTTTTAAACAAATAAGTAAATTCTAATGCAGGAGGAGTATCCAACAGTCAAAAATAAATACATACTTACCTCTTTCAACAAGTTCCTGCTGTTCATCTAAGTTGCTGCAAAAAATAAGAGATATAAATTTGTACATTCTTAAGAAACATTGAATTCAGTTGTCATGCCATTTAATTGCATGAATTTTATTGAATAACTGTACTGAAGGAAGGAATCGTGGAGATGAAGTGGATAGGCAGGGAAGAGGAAGAAGAGAGGGGAGGAAAAAAGGGGAAAAGACAGGAGGGAGGGAGGAAAGAAGAAGGGAAAGATGGAGAGATGAGAGAATGTCGAGGAGGGAAGGAAAGAAAAGAAATGAGAGGAAAGAAAACCAACCGAGGGTGTGTGCTGAGCAAACTTCACATAATAACTAAACTAGCCTATTTAAACACTCCCTTTTTAAAAAGTGTAGCTCTTCCTGGCCAAAGAAATACATGCACCTCCCCGGAAATTCCCTCCTTTCTTTTGCTTTTGCCATTCCTAGAACACCATAACCCACTTTGTACTAAAAGAACAGCCACATTGTTTTTATCCATTTTTGGGATAAAAGTCTAACACTATCAGCAAATGTAGAAAATATGAATATTTAACATAAACCAAAAGCACCATAATAAAAGTCTTCAATCCAAGTTCAGTTCTCAACTGGACCTCGTGTTGCCCTTTTTATGTGTGTTGAAATGGTTCCCTCCCTGCCTTATTGACTTGCTCCCGCATCTTATTACTACCATTATGTGTCGATGCACATATCCATTCTTACCTGGACCTCTTCTTGTGCAGATCATATATTTTATAGAGAACCACAAGCAGAGCTATGGATGTCACAATAATCAGAAATACCAGAAATCCAATCAGTGCTTTGGAGTTATCTAGAAATTGAAAAATAATACAGGAGGAAAACTTACTGCATCTTATATTTTGTTAGATTGAATAATTACTTTTAAAGAAATTACATTTTAATATTTTAATTTCCTGTAAATTGTTCCAAAATAAAAATTTCAAACTGAGACTAAATACAGCAAATTCCTCATTTTGTGACATGGGCTATATTATTCAGGACACATAAAATCATTTTCATTTAAAGAGAATAATTCGAAAATCAAAGACCAGGTTCCTTTCCTCCATTAAATCATGTTCTTTTATGAAATACTATCATTTAGATTTAATTCTTTCTGTCACTTCACTTAAATGGGATCAAGTAAGTAATCCAGTCATTATGATTTTCAGAGGGAAATGCATATCATTTAATTTTATATGCAGAAGTGAGCTGCCTCCTAGGGGGATCAGAAAGCTTCTGACCCACAAAGATAAACCCTCTTGCAAGCTCCCTGATGTATGAAATCAATTAACCAAGAGACAAAAAAAATATGTTATTTGACAGTTAAGACTTGCCCTGAGATAAATTTTCTCTAAGGCTTAATGTGAAATCACATCCTTTCTTTTGGAAAAGGCTGAAAAAGGAGGGTGTACTAGAAATATCTTTGCCCTGTATTATATTTGGCACTACACAGTGAAAATGCAACAGAATAAAGCAACAGCTCAAGAGCCCCAGCTCCAGAGGTTTAGGTTCCAGTCCTAGCTCCGCAACATTTTCATGGAGAACTTGTTAGTTCCTACAAGGAACTCCTTAGTTCCTACAAGGAGGTTGAGTAAGTTGATTCACAATAAACAGTACCATGCTTGGAACATAGAAAGTACTAATCATTCACTAATCCAAACAATACTTACATTTTTATTTATTCATTTTAATTGATACATGTTTGAAGTACACAATGTTTACATTTCTTGTGAGGAGCTGGTACGTGAACAAACACATTTCATTCCTTTTTTCGTTCCCCTCCCTATTGTCTGATCCCCTTCACATTTGAGAAACTTCTATCTCCCCAGCTTCCTATTGTTTATGGTTTTGATTTTTATTTATGTTTTGAGTTTCTCATATAAAAGAAACAATGCAACATTTAAGCTCGTGTGTTTTATTTCACTTAACTTTATGGTCTCAAAGTTGTGGCCATTTTTGTACCAATGACTCAGGTTCATCTTTCTTTATGGCAGAGTAGTTTTCCATTGTATATAAATATGACATTTTTTTTCCCATTCATTCCTTGTTAGTTGCTTCCAAGATTTAGTTATTATGAATTGTGCTGCTATAAATATGTGTATTCCTGCATCATTATAATATGTTATCTTTAACTCTTTTGGTAGGTTATCTGAAAGGGGAATAGCTGGGTCAGATGGAATTTCTAGTTTTAGTTTTTGGAGAACTCCATACTGATTTCCACAGTGGTAGTGCTAGTTTACATTCCCACCAATGATGTGGAAGGGTTCCTTTTTACTCATAGCTTCACCATATTTTTGAATCTTATTGTCTTTGTCAGTTTTCTCTCTTTGCTGAGACAAAATACCCAATGACCAGTATTAAGGAAGGAGAGGTTTATTTGGCTCACAATTTGTAGAGGTTTCAGTCCATACTCAGCTCCAAGGCAGAGTGAATTGCACATGGCAGAGGGCAACAGTTTATGGTGGTAGAAAATAGCAAAAGTACCAAGATCAAAAAGGGAAGAGTGGCAGTGAACAAGCCTTTCTTTCCCTCCCTTATACTGTGTGCAGGCTACCCACCCCAAAGTGGGTGTAGCACTCACACCCATAATCCCAGCATTGGAACATGAGTCAATCATAAACTCTAGAAACCCACCCTATGACTGTATAAGGCTTTGGAGGACATTTAGACACAAACCCAAACAGTAGATTTAGTGTCTCTATTTTAAATTTAGATCTTTGATCCATTTTGACTTGAGTGCATTAAAATCATCATACCACAGTGATATATGTGAAGACATGTTTACAGCAGCACAATTTTTAACAGCTAAATCTTGGAAACAACCCAAATATCCATTAATCAACCAAGGAATGGATAAAAAAAGATGTGGTCCTTTTGTACAGTGGAGTACTACACAGCCAGAAAGAAGGATAAACTTGAGACTTTTATAGGTAAATGGATGCAACTTGAGACCATACTCATAAGTGAAATAAGCCAGACACGTATGTGTAAACATCACATTGTCTCCCTAGTGTGAGGAGCTGAAAGACTAAATAAGATCCAAAATGTACAATAGATATTGTGAAATTGGAAGAAATTGTTCAAAAAGAAAGAGAAACTGGGATGGCGTAAAGGAAAAAAGAAGGAAGGGAAAAGGAAATGTATATTAAAGATACATATGTATATATATACATATATATAAAGATAGTTGAGATAGTTATACTATTAATTTCTCTTAGTTAACTGAAAAGAAAGGTTTGTGCTAATATTGTTCAGTCAATTTTTCATGCCTATAACTTGCACTCTGAGTAAACCCTTTGAAAATAACATTATGAATTGTATTAAACATTGTTACTCTCCTATTATCTTGTTTTGAAACTTTGTTCTATTGTTTTTTCCTCTTTAAAAAAATAGTTTTGTAGCATGCATCATAATAATGAGTATGGATTGGAGCACTGATTTATCGTCATGTGCTACAGTTTCTTGCCAAGTGTCACTTCATAGTATTCTATTTTGCTATTAATATCTTTTCTTTTTAATAATGTAGTTGAAGAAGTACAATCTACATACAGTTACAGTCTTCTATCCACCCATTCTATATGTACATCTAGGATAAATACACTGTTAAAGAAAATAAAATCATTTCTACTTTACAGATAAAAAAACCTAAGCTTAGATAATTTGATCAACATGTTCTATGTTGTAAGTCAAAGAAATAACTGCCACAATTCAAATTCAGGTCTTGCTGTCTCTAGCTGAAATTAATTTTCTACTTTTATGTTTCAAGTTATAGAAAATCTGTCATAAGATAAAGTGCTTCTAGCAGCTGTTGCTTGGTTGTATCATTTCCATCTTTCAGTTTCTAGAACTGTCTCACACTTGAGAAGACCTCCAATGACCACAGAGAAAAGCAGGCTTCCTCTATTTCCCACTTTGATTATTTTTTTTTTTTGAAAATAAGGAAAAATCAGTATTACTTCATTCCTTTGTTTATCACTCCAGGGTCTAGTTTTCACAATGACAATGTGAATTTTCTGAGAACTGAAACTTGCCTGACAGTCCCTGCTGTCTTCCTTTTACCCTGAACATAGCTATCATCTTTATACTTACAGCACCACTTGCATGCTTAATACATCTAATGTGTTTTCCTCTCTTTCCTCACTAGAAAGTAAGTTCCATGAGGATAGTCATCTTTGTTTTATCTTCTGTGATATCTTTAGCATTTTTCAAGTTTATATTTAATTTTTGACAGATATGTAAAAATGCAAAAATTATAAATATTATTGGTGTAGAAGGTGATGTTTTGATATGTGTATTGTGAAATATATATCTACTCGTGTATTAGTTCTTTATGGTTAAGTTTTTGAAATTCGTTCATGTAGCTTTTTGGAAGGCACAGTACATTATTGCATTGTTATCTATGGGCACGCTCTTACACAATAGCATGCCAGAACTGCGTACTCCTAACTGTAACCCAGTACCCAGTGATCAAATTTCCCCCACACCTTCTTCCACCCTTCTTGCTCCAGTTTCTGGTAACTACCATTCATCTCTCAACTTCTACGGTGTCAGATTTTTAAAATTTCACCCATTAGAGAGATCATACAGCACTTGTCTTTGCTTGAGTTGTTTCACTGATGTAGTGATCTCCAGTTCTATCTATGTTGTCCCAAATAATAGGATTTTGTTCTTTTTATGGAGGAAGAGGATTCTATGACATATATGTATCACATTTTCTTTATCCCTTCATCAGTTGATGGTCACTTAGGCTGTTTTTCTTGGCTATTCTGAATAATTCTGCAATAAACACAGGAGTGCTATGTCTCCTAGAAAGACTGTCTTCATGCCCTTTGGGTTGCTGGATCATGTGGTAGTCCTATTTTTAATTTTTGAACAATGTTCATACTGTTTTCTGTAATGACTGTGTTACTTTACATTTCCAGCAATAATATGCAAGGGTTCCTTTCTCTTCATATTTGCCCTGGAACTAGTCATTTTAATAATGGAAATTGTTACTGGGATGGTGTGACAGTTCATTGAGACTTGACTTGCATTTCCCAGATGATTATTGATCTATCTGTTGGACATTTGTATGACTTCTTTTTAGAAATATTTATTGAGGTCTATTGCTCATTTTTGATCACATTATCTTTTACTATATTTTGCTTTTAGAAAAAAACTGTGTTTTTGGAGTTCCCTATGTACTATCTTCAGTTATAAACCCTTTGTCAGATGTGTAGTTTGCAAATATTTTCTCCCCTTCTGTAGGCTGTCCCTTCACTTGTTGATGGTTTCCTTTGCTGTGCAGATTGTTTTACGTAGTACTATTTTTGCTTTTGTTGTCTGTGGTTTTGGAGTTTTGTCCAAAAGAAGTCCTTGCCAATTCCCGTGTCTGAAGTAGTTCCTTTGTTTTCTTTCAGTGATTTCATAATTTCAGGTCTTATGTTTAGGTATTTAATCTGTTTGAGAAGATTTTTGTAACTGGTGGGAGATAGAGGTCTAATGTTATTTTTCCTCTGGGTGGGGATATTCAAGTTATTCAGCACATTTTATTGAGAAGACTGTTCTTTCTTCAGTGTTCTTCCAACTTTGTCAAACAGTAGTTGGATACAAATGCATGGGTTTACTCTTAGGCTATCTGTTATTGGTTTAGGTACTTGCATTTATTCCAATATTATGCTCCTTTGATTACTCTAGTTTGTACTGTTGTTTGAAGTTAGGTAAAGTAATGCCTCCTGCTTTGTCCTTTATGCTAAAGATGACTTTAGTTATCTGGGGGTTTTGTGATTCCATATAAGTGTTGAGATTGTTTTTTCTAGTTCTAGGAAGAATTTCTTTGGTATTTTGGTAGAGATTGCAGTAAATATGTAGACTGCTTTTGGTACTGTGGACATTTTAATAATCTTCATTTTTCCAATCTATGAATATGGAATTGTCTTTTCTATTTTGTATTCATTGTAAATTCTATATCAGTCTATTATAATTCTCATAATAAAGATCCTCTACATTTTTATTATATTAATTTCTAGTTTTCTATAATTCTTTTATTTTTTGTTATTGTCCTTTTTTCAGAGAAGTCTTGCTGTTCTGCCCAGGTTGACCCCAAATGCCTAGTTCTCCTGCTTGAGCCTCCCAGTTGGCTAGGATTGCAGGTACACAGCACTGCTCCTTTTAAATAGAATTGTTTTCTTGATTTTTATTTCAGAAAATTTGCTAGTAGCATATAGCAGCGCTACTGATTTTTTGTGTATTTATTTTGCATTTTGTTTTCTGAGATATCCTAAGTATCTAGAGGAGTGTTGGAAGTTGATAAATGTTATGGTTTGTGTCTAGATGTACCCCCTCAAAGGCCTCATGCAGTCATGGGTGGACTTCTAGAGTTTATGATTGACTCATGATCCAGTGCTGTGGTGATGGGTATGAGTGCTGCATGTGCTCTAGGGTGGGTAGCCTGCATACAATATAAGGGAGGGAAAGAGGCTCGCTCTCTGCTGCTCTTCCCTCTTTGCTCTTGCTGCTTTTGTTGCTTTCTGCCACCTTGAACTGTTGCCCTCTGCCATGTGTGACTCTACCTTGGAGTAAGTCAAGTATGGACTGAAACTTCTACAGACTGTAAGCTAAATAAATATTTCTTTTCTTCCTTAATTTTGGGTATTGGGTATTTTGTCTCAGCAACAAGAGAAAAGTAACTAATACATCTACTGTAAGAGAAAAAAGGTAGAACTCTTAAAGGCATAAGTGTAGGTAGACACTTCATGATCAAAACCCAGACCACACAGGAAACACTACAAACAATAAACAAATGGGATTTCACCTTATTAAAAAGCTTTAGCAATGCTAAAAAAAAAAAATCAACAACACGGTGAAAAGGCAACAGTGTGGGAAAAAATTATAGCCAAGCTGTCTCTTAGACAAAAGACTTATATCTAAAACATATAAAGAATTGAAAAAAATCAGACACCCCCAAATTCAAAGATCTAATCCAAAAATGGGCATCTGAGATGAATATGCACTTCTCAAATGAGGAAATACAAATGAGAAATAAATATACAAAAAAGTCCAACATAATTGGTCATTTGAGAGATGCAAATTAAAACAGCACTGAGATTCCATCTCAACCCAGCAAGAATGGTTTTCATCAAGAAATCCACAAACAGCAAATGCTGGAGGGGCTGTGGTGAAAAAGGAACCCTCTCCACTGCTGGTGGGTATGTAGACTGGTGCAACAACTGTGGAAATCAATATGGAGATTCCTGAAATATTTAGGATTAGAGGTCCTATTTGATGCAAAACTATTAAGTAGTATGAGTCTTTGCTTTGATAAATGTATCGATAAAGTAGACAAACCTTCAAATATATTCTGTAGTCTAGTCACAAGTTTTCTTCCTCCACTACCATTAAAGAACTGAAAATGACATAGTTTCATCATGGCAGAGAGAATAGAGAGAAGAGTAATACAGGTAGGGCAATTTCAAAAAGTTTTAAAGAATAGAAAATAAAGGAGAGGAAGCTATAACCTAAGTATCATGCTAAAATATATTTATGCTAATTACATACAATACCTCAGTCTCAACTTGGTGGCAACACATGTGGTGGAAGTAAATCACAGGACGGAAAATGAAACAGTCAAAGATTTGTGTTAGTAACTTTAGAAAGAGCAATGCGTACTATACACACACACACACACACACACACACACACACATGCACGGAAGAAACTATAAGGAAAAAAGAAATAGTTAAAAGTAGTTATTTGGTGAGCTACACAAAGGATGGGGAACGTGGCATATATGTGTTGTTTTCATTATTACTATGAAATTTTAATTAAGGAATTTTTTCACACACTTTTACTTTAACTGAGATATTTAAAAATACTTATCATACATATTTAAATAGCCATATTGTCACTAAGAAATGCTATCTTCAATGAGGTAAATTAGGACAAAGTTATACCTAAGCCCCATTTCTGACAAGTCAAGCTTCACGGGCAGAGTAGGTACAGGGTAGACTAGGACAAAAAGATAACACTCTCTAAAGCAATACACAAGACAAAGCTATTAGTTTATAAAAGTTACCATAAACATTTTTATAACTTAACTGTCTGTGTAGATAAATCCTTTTATAAAATACTTTATGTAAAAAATAATTCTTCAATAACAGAATTTCCCAGTTGCATTTAAAGTATTGCATTTGGATATGAGGTTCATCTATATTTACCCTGATACCTTAAAATACTATATTTATAGAATCTATAATTTAAACATCTGATGGGTGCATAGATATAATATAACATAGGTTTATACTAGTTAATACATAGTTTATAAAGATACAATAATTAGTCCACTGATGACTTACAAGATGTTGTGTGATATTTTATTTCTGGCTTTCCCCTTTTTTCACCATTGCAGGAATATACCTAAATTTCAGTGAAAAAAAAAATTAGCTTTCCAATGTAAGTTTATATATCCTAATATAAAACAAACATTACTTTTCATGTAATGCTTTTTATTTCCATTAAAAAATACATATTTTTCCAGGCATGGCTGCTTATATCTGCAATCTCAACATTCAAGAAACTGAGGCAGGAGGATTGTCATGAGTTTGAGGCCAGCCTGAGCTACATAGCAAGCCCCTGCCTCAAAAAGGCAACAATATACATATTTGCTTTAATTTGAAATCAAAACTGCAAAGTTATGCCAGTGTGTTGTTGTCAAACATTTTTGAAAAGGTAGTCCAAAAGATATACAAAAGAATCTTAGCCTATGTTTAGCAATAATAATAATAATAATTACGAGGAGCAAAAGCAAATTAAAATGATTAAAAAAGTAGAATTCAGCATATAAAGTTACTCATAATTTAAGATTCAATTTTCCTACTAAAATATTAGTACCTTTACATTTAAGTTTAAATAGGAAATTCAACCATATGCTATTTCCAACAATTATACATGAAATGCACATATTTTTAATAGTAAATGAACATTTACAGTGTAGACATACTCTCATAAATACTTGGAAACCTGAAAAATAGCAAAGCTTTCACACTATGGGATAATAAATGATATTTCCAATATTCACAGACCATTCATAAATATTTATCATATATTATTATAAAGAAATGATTAAAAGATTTTGCTACTTATCAATAAGTGGGTTTGCTGAATATTTTTTATATTAGAGGTCATACAGTTAGTAGAAAATGATAAAACCATACACCAGAATCCTACACAACTATTAAAAATTATGTGGTATTAAAATATTTAATGTGGAAAGAGATGCATGGTATAATGATATGTGAAATGAAACTTACCAGATCATGTATTCACAATATTGATAATAAATGTAACATATATAATGTGTAGAAATGAATTTTACATTCTGAAAGTATGTTCATAAAATATAATACAATACCATACACGGTGAGATTATGGGTAGCTTTTACTTCTTTATGTTCACTGACACTTTCTATCTTTTATTTCTAGTACTTTCTAACCTCAAGGTACATGCAAAAGTTTTTCAGTTGAAAATTTACATCAATACAGACAAAAAAAAAAGGGTAAAGAAAAGATATGACAAAGTAATAGTCTGTTGTACAATGTTTTGTTTATTGATACAAAGAGTAACTTCCCTGCAAGTGAAGTATTTTAAAGTTGTACAGTACTCTTATAACACATTTGCTTTAATCTACTGTTTCTGATTCAAGAGATAAAAAGTTTGGTGTCTTTACATTAAAAAATGTAAAACTTCTTGGAGTTGACTCCACTGGACATTGTAGCTCCTATGTAAACACTGTTCTTCACACTCTGCAAATACTACACATTAATCATTGCAACGTATATTGAAACCATGGTGATTGTAAAAACTGTGACTTACCAAAATCTGATAGTCTGTTGAATACCAAAGATTGTCTACAACAAATGCGCAGGAGTCTTGGGAAGAATTATAAACTACTTCAGACTTAGAGTTTTTAAGTATGACTTCCAAGTCATAACTCAAATGAGGGCCTCTTATATTATTAGGACGGCTACAATTGACAAACACACTATTATCTGATGTCTGGGTTACTTTCAGAGACGTGACCGGATCTGGACCTATCAAAATAAAGACTGGTTATTTTAATCACGTCCTGGTGCATATTTAAATTACTGAACAATATGCACACAGTATGTGGTATTTAAAGAGCTAGTTTGGAGATATGACAGCACATAAGTGAACAAAAGTATAACAAAACACTTAAATATAAATCACCTACTCATTCAGTTAGTATAAACATATAGGTTGTACTTTAAACCGTGAGAGTTCATGCAGTCCCTGACAGAGGCTGTGTAGCATGAGAAAGTGGTGAAAAAGTGGAGGGAGGAAAAATGGTAAACCCATAGGCCTCCCATACAATTCCAATCCCTCTTTCCTGAAGAACCGACTTTATTCTAGTATACACTGGCAAGATCCTTCCAGAGCAAGCAACAAACTGTCTTTGCTCTCTGTGACATCACTGAAACTCAGGAAGACAGCAAAAGCACTGAGCTCCAGGCCTTGGACTCTTCAATGCATAAACTAAATGACCTGGAGAACATTTTTACCCAAGCCAAGATTAACAGGTGCTACTTGGGATCTCTAGAGCTGTAGATGCAACCACACTCAAAGCCATTTCTTCTTCCCTGTCCTGAGTGAGGTTAAGAGCACCCTCGGAGGCAGGTCAAGCTTTGGGCCTGGAAACTATCCAGACATCACACACAGGGCGAAAGCCAAATGCCCCTGCCACCTCCAGTAGAAAATGTGACATGAAATAAAAAAATAGCTAGTTCATTGTAACTGAAAGAAGAAAGTGCTAACAAAATATTGTATATTGTATGCTGCTACTGTTCTATTTCTTTGTTTCTCATTTACTATGCTCTTTAAAATAAAAAAAAATTGTATGCTATGAAGAGTTTTATCAGGTGAATACAGGTTAACTTCATGCTCTGTAATACATTGATTGTTAGGAGACCTGTTAATGTTTTTAGATAGTAAAGTCAACAACAGGCATTTTTTGAAATTCTAAATTAGACACTTAAATGCCTGAAATCTCACAAACAGTAATGAACTTCCCTCATGCTTTTTCCCTACAATTGTATGATTATATCTAAAGCCTACAGAGAGCCCAGGTATCAGATTTTCAATTTTTTGTTTAAATTTATTATAAGCCCTCTGTTATAGTGGATACATTATGTCAACTTGAGGAGTCTAGAGGCTTGGCAAAGGGACTCAGCAGTTCTGCATCTTGGGTTGAAAAGGACACGCCCTTCCTGCTCTAGGATGCTCTTTGGTATTCATCCTGAGCCCGTGCAAGAAGAGGACACAGAGATGGTGTGGGCGTGGCGGATAGCCAGCACACAGGATAAGGGAGGGAAAGAGCCTTGCTTCCCCCCTAAAAGAGCCTCGCTTCCCCACTTTCTGCTCTTGTTGCTTTTGCTCTCTTGTGGTGCCTTGAAGTGCTGCCCCTGTGCCATGTCACCCTGCCTTGGACCCAGTTGATTATAGACTAAAACTTCCACAAACAGTGAGCTAAATAAACCTTTCATTCCTTAATTTTGGATGTCGGGTATTTTGTCTCTGCAATGAGAGAAAAGTAACCAAGACACCCTACATGCTAAAAATGTCCCAGTCATGAAATTTCCCAAATGAAGCATAAAGGTAGATGAACTGTGAGCTGAAACATCCATTCTTTCTCCCTCACCAAGGAGGAAAAGGAGCATTAAAGCGTGGAACTTACGTCCAGATTTTGTTTTTAAAGCACAAGTCACAGCACTCCCGTTACGTTGGAATTTCACTTTTCCTTCAACAAAGGCAAATAACGATACAGTGTAGTCTGTATAACTTTCCAAAGACTTCAAAGTATAGTTGGTCACATTGCTATTCAGATAGAAGCTCCGTATTTTTCCTATGAAAAAACAGAAAAATTTAATCATTAAAGGTCAAGATCATATTTAATGTACTGTCTACATGGCATCATTCCAAACTAAAGAGTGATTAAGAAATAAGAATCTCTTTGACACTCAGAAGTGCCTAAAATTATCAGAAAATATATTTAATACATTTAATTATTATACATAAACTCATATATTCAAAACGTTCACTACTTTGGAACACAAAATATTTAACAACTCCAGATACATTTCTGCACTGGATAGGGTACAGCTCTCAAGTTCTTTTGTATCAAATCTTTTCTGAAACTTAGCCTCTGATCTTTGAGATAAATCTGAACTAGTGTTATGTTTCCCCCTTCAGGGAAGAAAACCCTTGTTCACCAATAGCAGGATGTATTACACGACACTCATTTGAACAATTAAGTAATTCTTAGAGGCCATGAAATTGAGAGAAAGCCACACTCTGGTGCTGTCCAGTGAGAGATGAGTGCAGAGGGAATTGGTAAAGCAGAAAAGAAAACGTTGCATAGGAAAGAAAGAATGTACCGAGATTAGGGACAAAGCTGACAAAAAAAGCTGACCAGAGAGGCATATAAGAGATGATGCCTTGTTTAAGTATATCTTAACAGGTAGAAGAGTCATCATTCATCAAGGGAAAAGAAACACTAGTTACTGAGATTTCTGAATAGACAAGTGACATGAGAAAAGATGAGTTAAAATTATGTCACTAGCCTGAAATTATAGTAAAAATTATAACACAAATAATGATACAAAAATGAATCATTCACTCCATGTACCAAGCACTGTTTCTAGAATTAAGTCATGTAACTTTCACTACAGGCCTATATGTTGGCACCCTTGATATCATTTTTATTTCATAGATGATACCAAGTAATGTATGTAGAACCTCACAGGACAGGGAGTGTGAAGCCTGAATGGACCCCAGGCCTGATATTTCCAAACCTGTGCTTCAGTCTCCACTATTTCACATATTGCCTGAGGTAGAAAAGTGACAAGTACCCACAACAGGGCAAAGCTTCACCTTTTGCTTGGACCTCATTTCTCTGGTGCACCTGGATCTGCACTGGACTTGTAGAAGCAATGTAGGAAAAGATCTAACTCATGGCTTATTTCTTATCTTAGTTCTGTACCTGTAGAGCATATAGTAATACCTGCATATCACCGTGGGAGTATAACTAGTAAGATGATGTAGCTGTTTCAGCCTAATTAAAAGGTCTTTTCAGAAATCCCCAAGGCTGGGGTTAATTGAGGTACATGTGATAGCTCTGTCTCTCTGTGTCCCTTGTGAGAATTCTCTTTGAAGACAGAAAAGATGTGTGCTCAAGACAGAAGCAAATGGGGCCCTCTTCTTCATGATTCCTGGAGCCTCATTATGCGCATATGCAGCCTGGATTTTAGGGCAATGCATGGCTTCTTACAGGCATAAAATCCAATTTTCAAGGTACTATTTTTAAGAGCAAACTGGCTTCTGTTTAGTGACTTAGTTATGGGTGTTGGCTTATACAATCTCACAATCATTCTGTACCAAAGTAAGTTTCATTGATATAGTTCCATCAAGCTTTTATATTAACCAACCTGACAGAACTCAAATTGTTGGTTTTATTTTCAAACAAAGCATTGTTCAAAGACAATGGAAGTTTTTTTTTTTTAAATCAGTAATTCATCAACATATTCAGAATTTAGAAAGATACTTTGGAGTGTTCATTTGGTTGAAATGAAGACCCACCTGCATGTGGGTAGAACTGTCCAATAGGCTGGGAGCCCAGATGGAACAAAGAGTGGAAGAAGGGGGAAACTGCATGCACAGAGGTGCAACTCTTCTTGAACAGGTCTGGTTTTTGCTGGTGTCATGGCCCACAGAATCAGACTCCCTATTCTTCAGCCTTTGAGTGTGAATTTGCACCTGTGTCTCTCTAGGGACTTCAGGGACTTCAGGGCCTTCAGCCTCAGCCTGATGTACATCACTGAGCTCTTGTTCTCAGGCTTCCAGTTCCTGAGACTAAACAGCCAAGTATTTTCTCGGTTCTCTCACACACGGACAGCCACTGTGGAATTATCCAGCCTCCGGTTATGTAAGCCAATCTAGTAAGTCCTCTCCACTGACTCCCTTCCATTCTCTTGGTTCTTTTCCTTTGGAAACTTTGACTTAGGCCAAAAATAATTTACATGCACATTCTTTGGGACACTTTTTCCTCGGGTCTCTGACATCAGAATAAAGTATGTGCAGCAAATAAAGGACGTAATTTTTATAGATTTTGAACTTATCCATTTTTCCATGAGGCAACAGAGACATGCTCATCCTAGAAGTTATGTGTGTTGCAGTGGAAATGCTGACAAGGACAGTGACTGCTCCACTGGTGCTGTGTTTTACACAAGTCACCTCAGTTAATGCACTAACAACTTCCTGACTTGTACTACTTTAAAGGGTTCTTGGACACTATTTCAAATAGACCAACCATATTGACACCTAATGGATTTTGTACTGCCAAATAAAATGAAAAGTTAATTTTTCTTTAAAAAGAAGCATTATATTAAGTAATTTCCATCTTCATCATTGTGGTCTGGAATGGCACACACTGGTTTCAATAATTTTTGAAAAGTAATCCTTTGAATATCATAAATCTTCAAAGACCTCTTCCCCAATTATTGGGAAATCTATACTGTCACTTAACAAGTTAGTGGCATCAACCTGAAATTTGTTGAGCTATCACATGCCAAAACATGACCAGCACAATGGCAGGAAGAGCAGTGTTCAAGCTGTTGAATAGTTGCTAAGTTTCTTTAGCCTCAGTTTCTTCAAATGCGTTATAAAGATCTGCATGCACCTCTCCCCTCTCAGTTTTTATGAAAACCGTTAAATAGAACAATACAAGAATGCCTTACAAACCAAGAAGACTAAATAACTGCCAATTGCATTTTTCCTTCTCTTGACATCCCTGGATTCCAGAGACACTAAAATAAATTGTGAAAAGATGAAATGTAATATCTGATTAAAAAGCAGCATGAACTACAAGTTTCAAAGACATTTTTGGCATATTTTAATATTGATTTTTATTTGAAATAATGTGAGTAGTTAATACTTGCTTTGACAATATTGTAACAATGGTACAATCTGATTGGTGAAATGAAAGAGGATCTCATTACTGTAAGATGATTTTGGTTGCTCTCAGAGATAATACACTACAGGCTGCTGCAAAGGGTCTTTAAGAAGTCAGTGCATGTCTTAGAGTGGATGTTGATTCAGCTACCAGTTAGCCGTTTCAGAGAAAGGAAACATACGAAACCCTCTCACTTCTTCTCTTCTACTTGTGCAACCATGCATTTCAGTGACAGTAAATAACAAGGCGTTATACTAGTTGCAGACAAACAAAACTCTTCATATTGCTAATAACTGGGGGCTGGGGATTTAGCTCAGTGGCACAGCACCTGCTGGCAAGTGTGAGGTTGTGAGTTCGATTCCCGGTACCAGAAAAAACAAACAAACAACATATTGCTAATAACTAATTGGATGCATCCTTCTTATCCTCATTATGTAAATACAATACAAATAGATATTTGGAAAAGTGCTGTAGGATACAAAGGAGCAGTGTGCATGCTACATTCCCATCACACACTCTGGCACCTGAACAACTCTGTGGTAGAGAAATTGTAGACACTGAGAAAAGCACCCAGGAAGAGTGAAAGATTTAAAGAGGAGAACACCACTTCTACCTTTTTCCTATCTTATAAACTAAACAGTTGAAATTATCAGAAACTCAAAAATATTGTACGTATTTCTCCTCTAAGTATTTGAGCTGAAAATTTCATGTGTATTTAACATTGCTTCGGTAGTCTGATTATTAAAATTCAAAAAACTAGAAAACATTAGCAATACATAAGGAAATGTAATACAACGGTGGTTTTTTAGTCTTCAAATTATAAAATTTATGCCTGGCACATTCCCACCAAACATAGGGATGAAATTGTACAAGTTGTTCAGTTTCCTCCTAGAGGGAAAGGGTTAGAGCAATGAGGACCACCCTCAAGGATGGAGGCTGCTCTGTGATGATCCTTTGATCCCTGCTTTTTTCATAAACATTTTATATACTTTAAGCTGTTCAGGAGATGTTCAACAAAATAGCTTCATTTGAAGGTTTCATAATTGAGCTAGTCATAGCACACCTTGACTACATTTATTATTGCAGAAGTCTAACTATGAACTAGATTGTCTAAGTGGCTAAAGGGGTCCATGTTCAGCTGTATTCACCCAAAATCTGGATTCATTTTTGAATTTTGAATTTTAATTGGATTCATTTTTTGAAAGGTGTTCACTTTTGCTTCGGTTGCTTAAATTGTGACTTCCAAACATAGGAACTCATCTGTATAACATTTGGAAGACAAGAAAGATTATTATCTCTCAGATACTTTCTTTCACCAAGTTCTATACTGCAAAGAATAAAAAGAAAATCTGGGAGATGTTCTGTGATTTTTTTATATCTAGGGCTAGAAATCCCTTTATGAATAGAAACTGCTCAAAAATCAAGGCAAACAGAATGCCTTCACAGGGCATTCATGTCAGAAGTTGACTGTCTCCCTTGTTCGATCTACACTTCTGCTATTTTCACTTTCTTCATTTCTTTCTCCAGATATGGAAATAAATTGTATAGAAATTACCTGAGATGTTTAAATAAGAAAAACAAAATCCAGATGAATATTTTGGGGGAGCCCAGATAACTTCTGCAGTAGATTCATCTTTAGCTTCACAAGTAAGAATCTTAGGTTCTCCTGGAACTGTTAAAAGAATAAAAGTATATTAAATGAAAAATCAAGCATGGTGATAGCAGTTCTTATAAGCACACACTATTAACAGCCGTATTTCACTAGTTATAAATTAATAAGTAAATTTAAAGAAATATACTGAGCTTATTAAATTTGTTTCAGAACAAACAACTTGAACAAAGTAAATGTCACTCTTGAGTGGCACAAATGAACCTGAGCAGACATCTGAGAATATCCTACTGCTGAACAGATATCTGAGAATATCCTCTTCTTCTAATGTATATTATTTTTCAGATAATTTGAGAATTCTAGTTGTTACTGTGCCCAAAACCTCACATTTGTGGCATTGGAAAATTTAGTAGTCATTCAAAACTGAGATGAAGGAAGTCATAAATGTTTTTAGAAGTTCTGAAACATAATTCACATCAACATGCACGCATTTGAAGTGCAGCATAGTGAGTTATGACAACTGTATACAGCCACATGACCGCCATCACCACCAAGACTTAGCACATTTCTATCACCCCCAGAAGTATTTTTGTGCCATTTTCCAGTCCACCCAACCCGACTCATCTTCAAATATGCTTTCTGCTATCAGAAATTAAGTGTATATTTTATCCATTTCATGTAAATAAAAATAACCTAAGATTTACTTCTAGCATGTTGCATTTAACATAACATTTTAGAGATTCATTCATATTGTTGCCTCTCTAGGTAGCTAGTTCTGTTTTATTAATCAGTAGTGTTATAGTTTGGATATTGAATGTCCCCTAGGCCCACATGTTAAAGACTTGGACCCCAAGGTGATGCTCCTGGGAGGTAGTGAGACCTTTAGAAGTGTCACACAAAGAGAGATGCTTAGGTCATGGGAGGCGTGTCTTTGAACAGGACTGAGGGACATCAGGGTCTCCTCTTTTTGCTTTATGGCTCTTGAGGTTAGCAATTTGCTCAATGGTGTGCTCTCCACGATTGGTAGTTGGTGTTGCATCAGAAGCCAAAGCTATAGGATCACCCAATGTTGGACTGAAACTTCTAGAACCATGATCTGAGCAAACTTTATCTAGTCATAGATTAATTACCTCAAGTGTCTCATTACGGTAATGGAAAGCTAACAAATACAAATAATGTTCTTTTGCAAAGGTAATTAATCCATGTTTTACCTGTGCTCAAAAGCTGGTGGCTATTTGAATTGTTTCCAGGTTTGGGGCTGTTGTTAATGAATTTACTTTGTCTTGTGGGCAGAATATTTTTTCTATGGTAATATCTGGAGTGAAATTGCTCGATTATTACCTCTCACCCTCACCAGAAGTTAATACTGCCAGTCTGTAATATTACCTATTTTAGTGGATGTATAATACTACTTCATCAGCCTACCTTGACTTGGATTTCCCAGATGGCTAATGGTGTTGCATATCTTTTTATACATTCTTTAGTTATTTGCACATCTTTGTTTATGAAATACATGTTCAAAAAGTCAATTTTTAAGTAGGCTCTTTCATGCTTTATTTTGTAGCTGAAACATTTCTCTATACATTGTGGAAAATCTTCCTTTATTGAGAAAAGTAATTGTAAATATTTCTAACAATCTATGGGACATTTCCCTAAATCATTTCATTCAAAGGAGAGAAATGTTTGATTCTGATTATGGGCAATTTAGCAATATTTAAAGATTATTGCTTTCTGTGTCCTATGAAAGCTATGACTAAATATACAAAGATATCTTCCTGTCTTTGATTAAAAATTTTATAATTTTAGCTTTAAGATCTACAAACCATTTTGAATAAATTTTTGTCTCTTATAAAGACTAATGTTCAAATTTTCTATAAAAATACCAGATTACTTGTTGAAATGATTATCACCTTCTCTTACTGAAGTACTTTTGTCCTTTAATCACATATAAAAATTAGTTAGCTATTATTTCTATTTCATTACATTGATTTGTCAAAATTGTAATAAATTTCATGCTTAATATCAAAATACTAAACTTTTCTTATGCTAAGGGTATACACTTCTGTGGTTTTATTTGTTTTGTGCCTATATTATCTTGGCAGTTTATAGGAAGACTTTGGTGTCCATTAGTCCTGAGCTATCCCTTCGATAAATAATTTAAAATCACTTTGCCATGCTCTGTCACAAATACTATAATTAATAAATCACTTCTGAAAAGTGTGAGAGTACAGGATTAACACAGAAAAACAAAAAAAAGTATTTCTATATTTTATTGATGTGTGATGTGAAAACAAAATTGAGAAAATAATAATTTTATAAGTAGGAATAGACAAATTAGGAATGACTCTAACCACAGAAATACTAGATCTGAAAACTCCAACCCATTTTAGATATAAATTAAAGAAGACCTAAATTAATAGGAAGACATTCTATGTTCATGGATTGGAAGACTAAGATTGTTAAATGGCCATTCTTCAGAAAGTCATCTCCAGATTCATTGTAATTTCAGTCCATTTCCCAGTGGGAATCATTATAGAAACTGACAAGTTGATCCTAAAACTCATGTAGACTTCATAGGGCTTCTGTATATTCCCAACAGTCTTAAGGAAAAGGAATGGAATTTAATGAAATTTTTCAAGTTCAAAACTTACTACAAGTCAGCAGTAACAAATGGTCTAGTACTGATTAAAGGTACGTGCTGACAAAATGTAAAGAAACTAGGACCTTCACACATTGCTGCAGAGAACATAAAGTGATGTATCCATTTTACAAAAAGGGTGGGAAGTCCTTCAAAATGCAAACTATAAAGCTGGCATATAATTAAAATTTTTAGCCTTCAGTATATGTTCATGAGAAATGAAAACATTTCTCTACATAATGCTTGTGTACAATGCCATCTCTTTTTAGTTTGGAGTAGTTATTAATAAATTGTCAAACACACAATTAACTCATTTTTCTAGCAAATTTTAATTTAGTTGGAATCTTCATACTTTTAAATAATAGTGGAATTTAAAAACTTTTTTCCCTCTCTTCCACTGTCCCAGATGCTATGAATTTCTGTAATCTTATTTTTCAGTTATATTATTATCGTATTGTATTACTGTTGTTATTACTAACACTGATGGCAATTTTAAAACACTAATTACTATTTTGCTGTGAATACTGAGAGGTCCTATACCCTGCTTTATGAGTTTACTTTGCTTATTTTATTCCTATCAGAGTCAGGAGCTGATAAAGTAGAAGGTGTAAAAGTACAAACCAAAGAGAATATTATATATATGTATGTATATATATGTATGTATATATATTTTTTTTTTTTGTTTGTTTGTTTGTTTTGTTTTGTTTTTTTTGTTTTTCTCCGGTACCGGGAACCGAATTCACAACCTTGCGCTTGCCAGGCAGGCGCTTTTGCCGCTGAGCTAAATCCCCAGCCCTAAAGAGAATATTATAAAAGGAAGGGTAAATACAATGTAAAAGAGAGCAAAACATTTTACTTATCTTGGTTTTATTTCTAACAAGACATAACAGGCATAGCAAGGCATAAAGTTTTACCCTGAATAATGTATTTTTAAATTCAATTTTAGAATTTGTTCTCTAAAGTCTAATCATTTTCTGTAATTCTTCAAAATTAAAAGAACATGAAAGGCTATTAAATTTTACTTACAAATTTGAATAATATACTCACCCCCCAAATCTGTTTCAATATCTATAGTTTCATTTCTGTAATGCTGGCCATTATACTTTACTTGTGAAGTACAACTATACTTTGTGTTGGGTTGAAGATCATCTTTTTCAAATAATTCATTAGGAGATTCTGAAATATTTGAAGGACCCACTGAAAGAAATAAATATTACACGTGGTATGTTAACATATAAATTTCTTATTTGTATAGAAATACAAATTTATTTTTCCTCCCCTCATTTATAGTACTATAATATTCATTAGATTAAAATGCCAATGGTCCAAATAATGTCAAAGATCTTGAATATGATTTTGCTATGCTTAGTTGTCAAAAAAAATTAGCAGGTATAACTTAAGACTGACTCTAATTTGACTGATAGAATGAGGCCTCAGCTTAGGATTCTGTACTCAAAAATTTAAATTACGTCTTGGTAGCCTATTATGGTCACACTTAAAATGCTCCCCCAAGTCGCACATGTTCAGAAGTGGCATTTCAGAGGGTGACCGGACCACCGGGGCACGACGCACATCAGTGGATTAGCCACCCACGAGTTCACAGCTCAGTATGCTCTTAGAAGAGGGAGCTTCTTCAATGAGGTAGGTCACTGAGACTGTACCTCTCACTGGCTCTTCCTTCTTGCTTCCTGGGTGCCATGAGTTGAGAGGCTTTCTTCTGCCATGCCCCTTTGCTGTGCTCTTTCTGTATTGGAACTAATGAAGCATGGACTAAACTCTCGAAAACTATGAGTCAAAGTACTGCTCTCCTCCTTAAACTGTGAGTATCACACATTTTGTCCTAGTGATGGGAAAGCTAACACATAGCCTTTGCCTAAAGGGATTTTCTAAATAGATCATTTTTATTGTCAGTCCATCACATTTGTACTTACTTTCCTTATACTGCTTGTAACACAGCCACATAGCCTCCTTAGCACTATGATTACAACCAATGCCAACTTCACCATGTGTGTAAACATGTATATTTGTTTATGTGTGCACATACATATCTGTTTATCTGTTTTGCCAAATGCAGCCTGGCTTTATGCTGAGGTAGGAGAGTCTATTCCATTAAATTCCAAAACACTGAAAAAACCATTTTATCTCAATCCAAAACCACATTCATTCCTCTTAGTACTTGCTCTTTATCTATTAAGTAAGTGTGCACAAAACTGTGCATGAATTCAGCTGACAGAAGCCTGACAACATAAACTTTGGTACCAATAATCTTACATTTACATTTTCTTTCTAACAGAGTGTATCGCCTTTCTATATGCTGATAGAATGTATGTTGTAACATCTTTCTCTCAGAATCTCTTCAACAATACCTAGCATATGAGTCATCCAAAAATTCTATAAAGTAATTAACTTTTACTATTTCAAAATTGACTTTTCAAATTTGTGAATCTGTTTGAGTGGCTTAAACAATAATTATTTGGCTTCAAACATACCAGAGACCAATAAAAAACAAAAACAGAAGAAAAGAAAAGACCATAAAGGACATCACCTAGTACAATTTCTACCACAAAAAATCTGTGATGAACCTATGTCACACTCTTACCACATTTATATATGTATTGAAATTCTTTAATGCAACGAAGAGTTTCTGTATTTTTCCATTGTAAACAAATTGAAGTATTTGCTTTTTCTCTTGTTGTACAATTATATAACTTAAACTTTTCATATGCTGTCAAGAAGATATAGAAATAGACTTGATTAATAGTACATAATATGCACATTTCTCAACTAAAGTCATTGACACAGAATTTGGCAAGCATCTAGAGTGCTTTTGAAAAAATGTAATAATTCTCAAGGTTTATTCACTTCATTATTCTTACGCTTTATTTTTACTTGACACATAATTGTACAAATTTGTGGTGCAAGCAAAGTGGTATTTTGATACATGTATACATTGTATAACAATGATCAAATCAGGGTGATTAGCACACCTATCACCTCAACTATTCAAGATTCATTATGGGAAATAGTACTATATTTATTATTGTTTCATTATTATACTTTTCAACTTCATTTAGAGTTACGCTACTTTTCAAAATAAAACTTATGCAAACATCTAAATACAAGTTTTGCACATTGTAAAATATTCCATTTTGATTTCTTAATTATAAACCCTTTTTTGTTAACTCTTTGATTCTGTTAACTATTTTGATTGATCAATTGTTACACAAAATACTAGAGCTTTCTCTTTAGGGAAGGCCTTTTGAAATATTAACATTTTCTGTATTTAAATGATGACTTATTTCATGGTGTTATAGGGAAATAAATGTTAGATGGATTTTTTTCAAAATGCACCAGAACTTTAAATATATCAAGTGTGAATAATTTTTTTGATAATCCTCAATTTTTAAATTGTATAAGATACTTTAAATAATCACAGTCTCTGAATCCCTTTTGCAAAATGCGTCTGGCTAAGAAATGCTTCAGTAGAGACTGCTTGACACCTTCTGTCCATTTTCTCTTCCAGCAGGGGATCAGTTGGCAAACCAGCTTGATTTCCTTAATGTCACTGCGGTTGTATTTATGTTTTCATTTTTGTTTCCTGAGGTAGGGTCTCTCTATCAAAGTAGAGCTCACCTTTAACTTACTACTTACTACATAACCCAAGCTGGCCTCAAACCAATGGTGATCCTACTGTCTCCGCTTCCCAAGTGCTGAGATTACAGGCATGCACCACCTTGCCTGGCTAACTCTCCTTTTCTCTGAGTGCATTGTGTTTCTTTCCATAAACGTCAAATCCTTAGCTTTGTGTTTCTCTCTAGCACTGATGACAAAGTTGTATCTAAAAGGACAAATGAGTACCTACATACATAATGACCTCAGTTAAGTAGACAACAAAAAAAGAAAGCCTGTGTACACTCATCTAGTAAGACAAGTTATATCGAATCTACATGAACCGCTCTGTAAAAGAAATAAGAGCAGTAACCATGGCATATAAAGAGAAGGCTTATATTACTTCATAATTTTTACTTGGTTAGGTAAGCAGACAATTCCACCATCGACTTTCTTTCCTTCGGTCCTGTTCTCTCACCATCCTGGTTCCTGGGATCACTAGAACAAGCACACATGGAATGGCACTGTTACTGCACACACACAAACAGAAATGGTTTGCTATTTACCTGGTGGCACATATAACTCCAAAATTGTAGGTGGAGAACATGATCCATCGGCTATGTGAATGGTAAGATTTGAACATCCTTTTAGATTTTGCAACACTTTTCTACAATCCTCAGAATTACATGTCACATTACGAGGAACATTTAGTTCTGCTGTAAATGATGTATCCTTGTCATTTTTGTATGTCACAGAGATAGTACCATATTCTCTATCTGAAAGAAAATGAAGATGAGAATTATCCTTCATTCAGAAAGAACATACAGGTCTGGGGATGTAGATCAGTGGCACAAGCGCCTGCCTGGCAAGCTTGAGGTTGTGAGTTCTATTCCTGGTACTAAAACAAAACAAAAGAACAAACAAAAAAGAACAAACAAACATACATTTAATACAAATGCCTTAATATATATTTTCAAAAATGTCAAATCACTAAAAGAGCTTCAGAAATACGAAAAGTACATGTACATGAGGTGGCTCCGTATCATTCTTTCATAGTTCACTTCACTTTTCAAGAACTTTACCTACGAAATTTATATTATTACATCCAATTTTTGTCTTCCTAAGTGGATTGTAAATTCCATGAGAGCCAAAACCAGTCTATTTACTTGATAACTGCCTTAAATCCAGGTCCAGAATAATATTTGTTATTAATAAGAACTCAATAATTGTTTATTGATGCAAACAGAAGAATGAAATAAAAAATAAGTCAGGTGTGATGGCACATGCCTATAATCTCAGCACTTGGGAAGCTGAGGCAGGAGGCTTGGCATGAGTTTGAGGTCAGCCTGGGTTACACAGTGAGTTCAAGACTAGCCTGAACCGCATAGTGAGACCCTGTCTACAAAAAATAAAAAATACACCTAACAAATATCCTCTTCTTTTTCTATAGTCTGCTTTGTTTTATGAAATATTGTTCTGCATTTCTCCACATTCTTGGAATGTTAATTTTCCAAGACAGTAGGTCCTCACTTCAACCTTTAATTAATGTAAAATTATCTTTAATAATAATAAACACCTCCTAAACTTTATTCATTGCAAACAACTTCTACTGTGTGGTAAAAATACCTTTGAGCAAATATTAATTTACTTATTCATTTATTTAACAAAAATATTAAATCATTGTGATGTTGAAGACACTATTCAAAGCCCCAGGAGTACAAAACCAAATCAGACATGATCAGCTTTTTAAAGTGCAGTCTAACTCAGAGCATACACAGACTGAACTGCAGAGTCAAACAATGGCAAGGTTAGCCCAAAATAACATGGTGATAAAGAGGAAGAGGTCTATTCAGAGTGGAGGAATAGAAGAGGGTTTCCTGAGAAGACGGGTTCACGTGGTATTTCAAATGCAAACAGGACATATAAAAACAAATCCAGCGACCAGAGAAGGAGGGAGGACAATTGCAAGGATAGAGGGAGAATGCGAGCAGACACAGAGGTGGGAGAATCTGTGTTTGGAAAACTGCAGGTAGATTGCTTAAGTGAAGCACTGGAGGAGGTAATGATGCCGAGGAGAGGGTGACAGAGCTGAACATCAGGGGATCATATTAGTAACATGAATGTATGAAGACTGATCTTTGCCCTAAGGTTATGAAGAGCGGCTGAAGGCAGTGGCTTCCGTGATGAGATTTAGAAATGAACAGAAGGATATGCCTGAGGATGTCGAGGACCTTGCTTCTGTTCAGAAGAGAGGAAGAAAATGAATAAAGGACAGATATGAACCATTTCAGGTTTCAGTGTTGAGCCAGCCCTGAGACAGAGACAGAGAGGCAGAGACAGACAGAGACAGAGAGAGAGACATGATACAGACAGAGACACAGAGAGAGACAGAGAGACAGATACAGAGACAGACACAAATAGATTTTCTTTCTGATAAGCTTTCAAAATATTATCTATATTTTATATTAATCATTAAATTGAATCCTCGCCCCCACCCAAAGCAAACTTGCTGCCATATTACTTTACAGATACTTCAGTTGTGGTTCAGCAGCTTCAACAAAATTGTCTAGCTAGTGATTTTTAATGCAGGTACTTAAAACTGGACCTGAGTATGAAAAATCTGGCCACCAATGAACACTGGCCTTTAAGAGCTGGGGCCAGCTATTGTTGAGAAGTCAGAACCAGGGAGCCTAGCGCGAAAGCTTAGAATGAAGAAGGAAGCAGTGCAGTTGCGAAGGGATTTTTATTGCTTCTAAAACAAAACAACAACAAAAACTCACCGCATGGTATCTTGGTTGTAGTAGGAACTGTAACAGAGAGAAAAAAAGGAAAGTGAATCATTAAAATTTTGTTTTAGTATATATTTGGGGAAAAGTAATTTACAACATAACTACCTGATAAACTGTGGAGTCTATCTAGTCTATCTAGGTTGGTCTAACACATGATGCAGAGTTTCCAATAATCCACTACTATGAAACACTTTTATAAATTAATCCAAAAGCAAAATTTGCACAGCACGAATGTTTTGTTAAACACCTGATCATGGTGTGGCACCATGCCTGAATATTCATGCTGGCAAAATTATTAGGAAGGATGGATTTCATCTTTGTTGATCTAAAAGCAGATTTATACATCTATAACCCTTATAAGGTTTCTACTTTTTTAAAATAGACAGTAGGTAAGGGGTGCCTTGTTCTCTATCATAATTTTTGCGAGCAAAAATGCTTTCTGAACAAATAGTGTCACGTGCAAGTCCCTGCATTTAACTAAAGGATGCAGAAGCTAACAGGTCTCTGCTGATCTCAGAGTTGCAAGGACTCAGGGGAGCAGGGTGGACGTGGCTCTGCCTTCCTGACTGATCCAGGTGCCACCGTTGCTGTGGGCAGTCAAGGGAGACCCCTGTCCTTTAACTCTGCATCTCTCCCTGTGTAACTAAAATTCATCTCTTAGAAAGCAAATCCCCTTTGACAGAATTAGTCCTTTCCACACCCACTTCAGCCCAGCATTAGAGAAAGAAGTTCTAATAGTTTAGATTATTTCTCGTACATGTTTTCATAAAGTACACCTCTCTTGGGGGAGCTACTGAAATCATGTGGAGTGGGGTACAGGAAATTCTTGTCCTAATCTCATCAGCTATTGCTACCCAGATAGGGTAGCTCTAAGAGTTCCCCATCTTTTAGGATTAAAATACTAAGTTGAATTTCTCCAAGAAAGCAGCCCAAGGGAGAGCAAGTGGGCGACTTTCTGTGAGTGCAGATCCCAGCCCTGGGGTGATGTGACTGCGTGACTGGGGGTAAGGTTGTCACCTATTGTTGTGGTTGGAGGGAGAGTGCTTGCTGCAGGGTTCTGTGTGGATGATGCAGTGGATATAGAGTTGGAATCTGCAAGGAAATGAACAGAAGAGTATGTTAATATGTGTTATATTGGAGAACAAAGGGAATCCTCTTCAACTGAGAGGATTTTTGCTCAGGCAACCTCATTTGAATTGATACTTGCCATCTGGAAAATAAACCAAAGACTTATCTACAAATTGCTCTCTCAGATAAGTAATATTTTGAGGAATTGAAATTAAACATTGTCTATGTTAAAGGAAAATTATTCTTTCCTTGGTATAATTCTTACCTGATGTGCAATCTTCCTGAAACTATTCTTTTCCCTTTCAATTACAACTGTCCTTGTTTGGGTGACTAGCATGGGTAAAGGTTACTTTTTCAAAACTGTCTATTGACTATCTGGCTTCCTGCTTATTCCTCTTTGCATCAATCTTATCAAATGAGTATAACTGTATCCATCTTTATAGAAGGAAAAGTACCAGTAAGTTGTCCTAACTGGCTAGAAAATTGAAGAAGCTGGATTGGATCTTAGAACCACATGCTATTAAAGCTTACTGCCCATTCTTCTTTGCCATGAACCTTGTGTTTACTTTATACAAATAAAATAAAATATGCCCCAGAAAAAGCTGACTGGTAAGTTTATTTTGCCTAATTTAGCATCGAGATATGAAAGTTTATAGAACCAGAAACCTGAAAATACTTGGAATAAAGTAAAAGAGCTATATTGGAGTCTGGAATTTCCATTAAGGTATCTGTGGCCCGAGACACCTGGCCTCCTGGTCAAACCTGAGGCGTTATCGGAGGTGCTGGTGTTGGAGGCGTGTGTGAGTGAGGCAGCAGTGCTGTTGCGTGCAGGCCTGAGGGTATCTGCTGGGGTGAAGGCTGTGTCTGCAGGAAAGGTGGTATTCCTCTCTCCTGGGGTACCTGCAACCAGAAGGGCCATCAGCACTGACTCCAGTCCTGCCACATGAGGCCAAAGATCAGACAGCCAACATACATCGCTTACTGAAGCTAAGACACAGCACCAAGTGATCAAGCACATCTATTGTACCACAGTGTATATATTCCACAAAGCTGTACTAAAAACGTGAGGACCTATGGGAAAGATGGATTTAGGGGCAGAAGGTGGGGTCCTATGAAGCTCTCTATATAATCAGACCACATATAGCTCAGCCAGCCCAGGGAGCCCAAGCCTCCTTGCTGAGTGCTGCCTTGGGCAATATCAAAAAATTCATCAGAGCTGCAGAGAGAGGGTTTGACCGGGTGTTACCGAGACCACATGGGCTGAAGAAGAACTCTGAGGATAAAAGACTGTTAAGGCTGGCCCAGGAGGAAGTGGGACCTGGCACCTGTAGAGAGCCTCGCATGAGTGGGTGCACCTCCCTGGGGAAGCCCCCAGTGCAGGTGCTTGATTTTAATTTTCTTAAAATAGGGCTGGATGGGCTCCTGCCTGTGCAGAAGCTGAGCTCAGAGTTCTTTTCTTCCTGGCTCAAGGTTACAGTTGGGTTTTCATTATGTACTCTCCCTTGCCAGGAGAGAAAATCAAATTGGTTTGGAACCAACAAACTTCGCATTGTACTGACATAATTCCCTCTTTTCCAATCACATATGAACTAATCAATACAGAAGCTAGCGCTGTAGCAGAGGAAGCTGCACACTGTACTTGGTTAAGACTTCACATTGTCAAGCTTCAATTCCCCTAATGCATGTAACATTTTCCCCCAGACATCATGCGCAGAATCACAGCACACACACTTCACGAATATTCACTGTGTGCCTACCGGATGAGTAGTTCTATGCTAGCTGCTATGGAAAAAACAAATCTGAGCTATCATGAGCCTGAGAGCATCTTTGGTTATTTCACACTGAAGTTACCTTTTTGGTCCTCAGCTCAATGATACACAATAGTCTTTCATTTACAGTCAGAATCTGTGTTTCCACAGTGAGGTAGGGGGGCATGTCTGTAAACATCTCTGCTATGAGTATGCAGGCATGTACCAATTACAGATGGATTGCAGTCCATAATGTAGCACGCTTTTCCAATAAATTGGAAATTAATTTCCTTCCCCACTGAGTTAGAGTTTTTGGCTCATTCTTCTAAAGTCACTACAACCAAATTTAACTAATTCACTCAAAAGAATGAGTAAAACTAAGCACAGTTCATCAGTTGTGGGTCCAGAGTAGGACTCTTAAAAAAAGCATTCATTTGCCTTTTAAACAATTTATTTAGACATAGAACTGGGCCTTTTAGAAGCAGCCAGGTTTGTCTTCAGGTTGCTGCACCTCTTTTTCTATTCTGCCACTCTTTTCTCTCCTCTCCCTGACAAGTGCCCTTGTCCCCAGAACTGTCCTCAGTCCCCCATCTCACCTTCTTCAGGTTTCAAGCCTTCTTAATGCCTCTGAAACTCCTTTCTCTTGTTAAGCAGGTAATCTCAGCCACACTTCAAGAGTGGCATTTAAATTTTAATTAGGTTGATTAATCTTAATAGATCTTTAATTAGTGGAGTTAGCCAGTGAGAGAAAGAATTCTTTGATCAGTGCAGAACAGACTATGGTTGTGTGACAACCAGCTCTCAAGGGTCTGTCCTCCTTGGTTATTTTACAGCTTCCTCCTCTCCACAGCTTTTAAGCCTATGAATTTGCGAGAAGTAGCACATTTTTTTCCCCAGTGATTCCCTGGTAGTTGGAGATGGTGGAATGAAAGAAGAGGTGAGGCAGCTCTTCTCCTAGTTTAAAGCGTGTGGATTTTCTGTAGTGATTTTCATGCTAAAGGAACAGCGGGAATTAAATCTCGAAACAAGCATTATTCTATCTGATGTGCTTGACTTTCACATTTTCACATATTTCACATACCTAATGCAGGCCAAGTAGGCTTTCAGGTTACAGGTGAACTTGGGACCTGAGAACGCCTATACTTGCTTTCCCGCGTAAAAAGAGACCCATGTTGTGATTTGGACAGTGACTTCGGAAAGACAGGGAGGTGAAATTTTGCATTTTTACAATTACAGAGATGCTAAACTGAAAGCTCCTTAATCCTTAAGAGGGAAATACAAGCCTCTCTTTGATAATCGTACCATAAATAACAATTATGTCGTGGTTACAATCTCTCCGTGCTCTTCATCGATAACAGTCACTCTACTGCTATTCCTAACAGCTGTTTGTTGATTTGAGACGTTGGGGCAAAGATTCTGCCATGTTATTCTTTATTGCTTACAAAAAACAGAGCTTTTCACTGTCTAATTGCCCAAACTATAAGGAAATATAGAGCATCCTTGGTAACTGTTTCTGCCAGAGGACTTTTTGCTGTGTCCTAGTTGTCATTATTGTTTAGTCTCTCTTAAAACCTTTGTTATGTAGTTTCTCATCCTATCGGTAACTATGAAATTCAGTTTATCAACTTGTTCAACACTGAACAAGAGCCTGTTTTTTTTCTTTTCCACACCATTCTTCAAGGCAGTCAGTCGACATGTACTCTTCACATCTGCACAAGTCTAAGGGTCCCGCAAACCTGTTGGTTCCGGCCCGCCTGAGGAGGGCTTGAGTGTGGTAAGGTCAGCCTTGCTGCTGAGTGTCTGCGTGTCAGCTCCTCCGGTAGAGGGCGCCTGCGAGTCGGTGTGCGTGCGAGGGAGAGGCGTCGGTATGGTTGCGTTTCCTGGGGTAGGAAAGTGAGATCAGCGCATCAGTTCCCCGCAACTGCATTTGAGAATCAATAGGAAGCACATTGCAGTCACAGTTTACCAGGCTGTGAATCTACTAAAATACTGAAGCTCTCTGTGAGGGAACTGACGCCGTGGGCTCCGCATTTACGGATTCCCGGGAGCTCCCAGGGCTGCGTGCGGCCTGAGAAGATTCGCATTTCCAGATTGCACTGTGACTTCCAGATCACTGCGGTTTTCCAGAACACACCACCCACTTTACAAACTGAAAGTTGGGACGTTTCTTTGTAAATCGAGGAATAGAGGAATCTTTCAGAATGCTATCGTCTCTTACAAAGGACTAGGAAAATCGACACGAAATACAGCAGGTGTCTAATAGGTAGAATGGCCTAAAGATATGCTCAACGTTAAGAAAAATTAAATGTAAATCGGCATGGGACATATATTGTCGTGGCACTTTTAACACACTGATATTATCTGACAGTGGAGAAGGTGTGGGAATAATGATAGGCGTGTGTCTTACACACACATGGCTGCACACACCCACAGAACCATTTGCTAGGAGACTGGAAGTCATTTAATAATGGTTGAAATAAAATATTAAAGGAACAGGATTCAAAATGTTATTTCCAATGAGCATGTAAATTACATATAAAATATTTGTATTTGTCTGTTTATACAGATATATTTCCATATTAATACTTTTAAAACATACATAAATGATTTTTATAAAAGTAACATTCCATATGTTAGTGTGGTGCATGTAGATGCTTACTGTAATCATTTTTAAAAAGAACAATCTAAAAGACTTAGAGGAGACTTAGACTAAGACATTCCCCTTAGAAAAGTGAATGCAAGAATTTTTTCCTAGGTCTATGAATAAACAAGGAAAAGCAGAAGAAACTTTCCAAGCACATCTCACCATCAAGATATTATGGCAGACTAAGTCAGTATTTTATCATTATTCATTTTTATTTCCAACCTGTTCACTTTAAGTCTGTTCTTTAACACAGTCTTCCTGCAAATCTATGGTTTTAGTATATTCAGGTAGAAAAATGTTTTGTGTGAACAAGGATTTAGGAATATTGAACGTGTATATTTGTGCGTGCGTGTGTGTGTGTGTTTGTGTGTGTAGTGAAATCTAGAACCCTTAAAATGGAAAGCTGAATGACATGACTTAGGCAGGGAAAACCTCTATCACAGGTGTGGCAAATCTATGGTATGTGTACCGCAGTGGGATATGAGCCAAGTTGCTCCAGCACTGCCCCAGCAGCTGAGCACTGGATAACAGTGCACACAAGGGCAGTGTTGGCACCTTGCAATAAATAAATAAGTTTTGAGTTGTAGCTTGGGGACTCCATCTTTAAAAGTTTCATCATCACTAGTCCAGCATGAAATATATTGCTTATCCACAGCATTTACTTATCGTGCTTATATTCCTTTTATAAAAACTTCAGGCAATGGAGGTGTTTAGATATATTCTAAGACACTAGTCTGCTATGGTACCATGGAAAATGAGGTGAAGGTTTAATATACAGTCCTGTAATCTCTAAAAGAAGGCATTATCCATTTATTTAACTGCTTACAAAAAGCCAATAAAATACTTGAAATACTGCAATGCATTCTAAACAAATGATATGCATGCTTGTTCTTCAGAAAAAGCTAAATGCCATTGTCAGGCTATCAAATAGTTCAGTCCCTTATAGTATTCTGTAAAACTATTTACCAAAGAAAATGGCATAATAGTACATCAGAAGTGCCTGGCCAGCCACCATGTGGGTAGATTGGTGTAGGAAATACACTGGAAGTGAGTTTAAAATAAGCTGAAGTCATTGATACATGGCCATTGCAAGGAGTATCAGTGGTCTTTGCTAGCCAACGTGCCTCCCATATCAATCTGAAATTTTACTATGGACCTGATTACATTTACTCAGTTTCCAGTATTGGGTCTCATAGCTGATTAATTTGAAAAAAATTTAATGGCAATATCTCTAGAAGAAACCCATATAACAAAACTAAGTTATCAAATCTCATAGTGAATGTTTAAAAATGAGTGGTCTAAATTCAATACTTTCCTGATAATGCTAACCCAGAATAGGATAAGGAAAAAGGAGGATTCTAGTGTAGGGGGCTTGCAGGGCTGAGGAAGCCCTGAAGTAAGAGCTCCAACCTGTCCACGGCTATGGGGAGCCCCTGAGAGCAAGGACAGAGGGAATGATGCACGTGAGAGGACAATGGCACCCTACCCCATGCAGATGTTCACAACACAGGCCGATATATGCATGCCCTGAACATCCCTATTGAAGGTGGGCAGACACTCCAGTGAATGCAACCAGACCCATTCATTTCATCTAGCAGATATCCAAACACTGAAAGCTCTAGCGCCGTGCAGTTACCAGCAGCACTTTCGTTAATATTCTGCCATTTAATATTCTGAATTTTCGTTAATATTCACTACTGTGGGGAGCAAGGCCCAAGTAATATGTCAGTGTAAAAACTTCAGTTAGTACAGCAGAGCATATTTGCCTTATTTAGACTTTTCACATAGACATTCATGTGTCTCCTGCCCTTATCTTTCCAAAGAACTTCATAACACATTCTACCTCAAACTGCTATTCACCACACAGGCCTGATATATGTGCGCTCTGAAAATCCCTGATGCACTCCCGACTTTACCTAGTTGGTCATTCCTCCTCCCTTTCCTTCTCCCTAAATCATGCATGCATTTCTTTAGCCAGCCAATTTTTATACACATGTAACGTTTCTTAACTTTATTCCCTTGAATAAAATCATATCCATAGAAACTGCACACTTGCTGTCAAGAAAAACCATTTTGGTTACTTTAGAACTTTTTTAAAAGAAAAGCTTCCCCCAACACCATTTTGATTAAGAACATCTCTGTGCCAACCTGTCACATTTAGAGCATTAGCATTATCCGAAGGGTCCAGGGAGACATGGCCTGAGGAGTCACTGGGACTAGCAGGAGGTGTGGTCTCTGAGGAGTCATTTCCTCTGTCAGAGATGCTTGCGGGTGAGGATGCATTGGTGCGAGCGGGTAAGGGGCCACTAGAAGGCAGGGCATGGGGCTTCTCTGGTGCAGTCAGTCCTGTTATATTAATGGGAAATTGGAGGAGAAAATAAATGTGACCATTACATCGTGAAACGTGTTTTTCTGTGTGTGCTCTCTCTCTCTGGGCTCTGAGTGTGTCTCTCTGTGCGCGTGTGTACGCGCGCGCGCGCACACATATACATACACACACACACTCTATGTATGTGATACATGGTGTGGGTATAAATTTGTGTATACATATATGCAAATATAGATGCAAATACAAACGTAAAAAGAAACGTATATGTAATATGCAGATATAGATAATAAATCAAGGTATAAGAATGAAAAATGGGAAATGGACTTGAAGCAGCTATCGTCTGTCCTCTTGCCATTCAATCACTGGTTTCTCAGCTATCTAGAACAGTTGACAAGAATGGACCCCTCTGGGTAAAGATGCTCACAGGACAATTGATAAGACTTACTAAATTATGGAGGAAAGTAAATTCAAAAAGAATATTATTATGTACTAGGATTCTAGGATTTTAAAAAATAAGCCACAAAAGTTCTAGGTGCACAGGTTGACGTTTTAAAATCAAATACGAACCAAGGGCAAATGAGTAAAAGCCTGGAAAGTAAAACGCAGAAACAGGTATAGAGAGGACCTGTGCTAACAGAAAGAGCAACTTCATACTCACAAAAAGTACATCATATAAGATACTGAAGTAACATTTCCATGGCTTTAATTCACTTTAAAATGAGGGGAACATGTGACCGTTGTAGTAAAATCGGTACATGCTTAGATGATATGGGTGGACAAGTGGCAGAAGTTTTCTGCAGCACAAATTAGCACCATGTAATAAAGGACTTTAAGTCTGGTTTTGCTCTTTTACTCAAAGTGTATTTTTTATGGAAGAATAAGGAAATACACCAGGTTTTATGTACTCATCCAATCATTGGTATTTAAATGTTTTTTTATCCTAAATTTTGTTTGACGTATATTACCTTCCTTGAACAGTATACATATTTAAATATTGAATTAACCAGAGGCAATATCACAAGTATTTTAATTAATCCAATTCAACAAGATTAGGTAAAAGAGAATGGCAAGAAGGAAGAGGAAAAGCAGGGAAAGCTAGAAAAGAAGTAGAAATAATTCAGACACAAAAAAGTTAAGGAAATTGGTATATTGAATAGAGAAATAAGAAAATGGAAACAAAAACAACACAAAGAAATCCTAGCTTCACTGATTAGTGCTGAAGGCCAAATGAAATTACTTTTTACTAAACACAGATAAAAACAGCTTGGATGGCATTGAACAGCCCCCATGTCCATGCGGATGATGTATTGCAGAACTAGCCTGTGATTACAGACATCTGGAGGGATAGTACAGCTATGACGTGCTTTTCTCCAATGAACATGTTCAATATCCAGACTTTTTAACCAGCTAGCTCATAAATAGATCCAATTAGCAACAAGCATTCACTTGTAATCATATGCCCACATAACCAAGTAATAGACAAGTAGCTACCTCCAGCCTTTAGGGTAACACAGAAGTCTAACTGTAGTATTCTCCCATCTGATGTGCATTGACTGACTAGGATAGCGGGTAAGAAAATGATCACAGAAAGAGACCAAGAAAGATGAAGGGACAGAGACAGGGAGGGAGGGGGAAGGAGGACCTTAAAATTCTATACATTAATGCTAATTCACTGTCATCATATAGACCTAATAATTATTAGTTATTTTTACCTTAAACCAACTGTAGTTTTAGCAGGTTTCCAATGTAGGTGCCTCAAGCTGGCTTTACCATCCATGCCCACTCTTTTGTTACATTTGAATTACAACAGACTTTAAAAGGAGAATCAAGTGAATAACCAAGAAGACAGTACCATGCTGCCTGAAGGGTGGCACTGCTGCCTGCTTCATCCAGGAAAGCATGTGGAAAGGGTGTTCAGAGAGCTGCTCCCCTATACACAAGCCTGAGTATCCTTGTACTCACTGAAACCCTCATTTCAGAAATGAGGATGTAAGACTATAAAGCATGCTTCAGCATCAGTCGTCAACTTCACATCGTCCCTTACTTTGGGACAATGGCTTCCTCTGATGGCATTCTTATTGGCAACATTTGGGAGAAAACTCTCTTTTGCATTTTGGGTCATAATTTCACTTACCTGCTTCCATCATTTGGAGGTGTGGTATGACAATGCAGAGATAAAGGAAACTCTCCCAATAAGGTGATGAGCTCCATGCCACTTTAATATGGACCACTCTTTCTATGCTGTACTCACCCCTCTTCAGCAAAGCTACTCATTTATATGAGTGAGACTAATTTACTCTTTTTTGAAAGAGCTACCTTTTAAAAAGTGGCAGGCAGGAGTGGTGGTGCACACCTGTAATCCTAGCACTCTGAGAGGCTGAGGCAGGACAATGGCAAGTTCAAATCCAGCCTGGGTAACTTAGCAACTTAGAGAGACAATGTCTCAAAAAAAAGACCCTGTCTCAAAAACAAAGAAAAAAAATTAAAAACAGTTGGGAATGGAGTTCAGTGCATAGGCTTTGGGCTTGATCACCAGTACCACAAAAGTAAATAAATAGTAAATGCTTATACCAGTAACAATGCTATAAGGAATGACTTTCATTTACTTAAAGCATTTTTTTATTATTGCATACAATAAAACTATGAAATTGTAAAATTAAAGCCTTTCCAAAAATAAAGAAATATGCCTCTTGTGCAGATTTAGGAATGGTTTTTATTAGTATTTGCACAGATATTTTGTTGATGTTCAACATTTGAATGACTTTTATTTAAGGACAAAAATAATTTCTATAATTATCCAATTGTCAAATGTGTCTCATTAGAATTGTCACTGCAATTATTAAGTTAGAATTGTCCTAATAGTTTTATTTATCTCCTTAATGCATAATGTCAACCATATAACCAAATAAAAATTAAATAGTACATTTTCAATAATAATAATATTGAAGTCCTGTGATTTATTTTTATTTGTTTGGTTGTTTGTTTTGGTACCAGGAATCAAATCCAGAGCCTTGTGCTTGCCAGGAAGGCATTGTGCCACTGAGCTACATTCCCAGCTCCCACTTTGTGATTTATCTTTGATTTATCTTTGTGATTTATCTTCCTTCAATTTAATTTCTTCTATTAATTTGTGTTAATATATATGCATTTAATGATGGCATCTTTGTTATTTATATTTATTTACCTTATGATTTGGACACTTTAAGACCATTAATTTAGTTGTAATAGGATGATTTGATAATAATTATTACAAACTATTCAACATTCAAGGCTTTTGCATACTTTTTGAAAGGTAAGAATTAATTGAAGAATTAATAATATAAATAATTAACTATAAAATATATGTTTAAATCTAAATACAAATGAATTATAAATATAATTAATGCACAAAATATATATTACTAACTCTTAAGCATAAGATTATGTTTAGCTTTTACTTTCTCAGATAACTTTTAACTCATTCTTAAATATAGAGTTTTGTGATGTAACTTTATTTATAGTTTTCAAGGGAGTTTGGAATCTGTCATGTTCTTTGCCTTCAAGGTTAAGAAAAGTTATTGTTTATACATGATTATATAGATATATGTGTGTGTGTGTGTGTGTGTATATGTATATATAACAATGATATATTCAGGTAGTTATCAAACTTTATGTCTTTTAAGCAGCATTTTTAAGAACAAATGAATGTCAAGAAACATTCAGTTTCTTAAAACAATTTATGTAAATAATAAATAGAAAATTTATATCTTCATTAAATATATAATCTTTAGGAGAAAATAAATAAATAAAATGCAAATATTAACTCTTACCAGGAGTGGAAGTAGTAAAGTCTTGCCCTGTAAAATGGAAAACAAAAATCTTTTAGATTGCTTCAAATTTCATATGTGCTTATAAGTATATAGCAAACATATATACACACATATATATGTGTATATATCATGTCTGTGTTAGAACATTAACAGTTCAGCAATTTTCTGTATATTTTGACTCAATGAAACTTTTCTCTCTCTGAATGTCCTGTTTACAAAGCCCAAGTATGTCAAAATCATGTCATTATTTTTTACTTACCAGGCAAAGTAAGAAAAATGATAGAATAAAGAACTATTGGGATTAATTTCAAGCCTGCAAACGTCTTTAGAAAGACTTTTGGAAAGATGTTTTTCAAGACCCATTCATTTATTGATATGACTTGAGTCTTTACTATATGGTAAACATTATATCACATGCTAGGAGTACATGACAAATATATTAAAATTCTGAGCATTCAGTGAGCTCTGTTTAGTCTGAGAGGTAGAAAACAAAAGATTCATAAAATATGAGGCAGACGGTGCTATAAAAGTCTTTAAAGAAGCTTATCTTATTTAGATGTGCAGAGCAGGAGACTAGCTAGTGGAGAAGTTGCTACAGAAGGATTTCTCAGATGCGTTTAAGCTGTGGCTTAAGGGAGTATGTATAGAAAAATAAGAAGTTGGAGTTCACCTCCCAGTTATTAAATAACTGTTGGGGTGATGCCTTTAAGGAGAGGTCTAATGGAGAAGCATTTGAATTTTAGATCAGTCTTCTTTTATGAAATCGAAAGTGGATTAATAAAAAAAAAGAATTAAGGCATACTATGTACAAGGACAAATTTCCTGTGATGAATGTGATCATTATGTTTGGCAAATATGTATTTTAAAAAACTGTAGAAGAAAAAGAAAAAAACCTTTAATAGACGTTCTTAGGGGGAAAAGAGAAAATGGATTAATACAAGCCAACCTGGGAGCAGAAAATCAGGGCAAAGCAAAAGTAGAAACGACATCCTATTTGGACAAAATGTTAAACCATAAGAAAAGTAAACAAACAAAGAGTACCTGAAATATTTAATCAAAACTTTTTAAATCTTTGGAAATGAGAATTGGGGAGAATGACTGGTAAAGAAAATCTTTCCAACTAATAGACAGTTTATTACACCAAATAAATTTTGAAGGTTTCAGAGACATCAATTTAATTCTAAGAGACTCAAAAGCAATGCATTTTGAAAGGGGCTATGTGACAGAGAGTAGTTTTTTCTTTTTATTTTATGAAGAAATGAAACAAAATTTCATAAACAAATAATAAGAGGGTAAAAATAGTTTCTACACTATGTATCGTTATCTTCAAAATAGTTACTCACTATAAGATATAAACCAAAAAGATCCTTACCAGAAAAAAAAGGGTAACAACACAAACTTTCCTTTCAAGGAACTAAGATAGATAGTATTACATACATAGATTAGATAGGTAATATTAATACTAAAACAATATTAGTATAAGTAAAACAAATTAGCAAGTTAAAACTACACTGAGATACCATCTTACCCCAGAAAGAATAGCTATCATAAAAAAATCTAATAATAACAAATGCTGGCAAGGATGTGGGAAAAAAGGAACTCTACTGCATTGTTTGCGGGAAAGTAAACTGGCCCAACCACTATGGAAATCAGTGTGGAGATTCCTCAAAAAACTAAAAGTAGAAATTCCATTTGACCCAGCTACCCCTTCTAGGTATCTTCCAAAAGGAATTAAAATCATCACATCACAGTGATATATATAATATTTTGATCAGGGTTCTAAAATGAAGGGCAAGAAGTAAATAATTGAAGCAATAGATAACTTTGGGAGATTTATCTTTATTTAAAGAATAATTTAGAAGTGATATCATTTTGTTATTATAAATTGCTAATACCCATTGACTACTTAGTGGGTTTCATGCCATCTATTAAGCTCTTTGCTTGTATTTTCACTCTAAGGGTTGCAAAACCCCTCTGAAGCTTAGAAAACTCAAGTATCTCAGACCAGACTCTTATGTGCTCATCCAGGCTTGAGTCTGAGCGCATCTGTCTCTGAGGCTCTGCTCTGGATCCCTCAGTATCTCACTTCCCTCAGCAATCTGGCCTTACAGTCTTTTCTTTATCTAAACTTTGCAGTATACAAAATCTTTTAGCCAGTGTTAGATTCCACAGAGAATATGTTCTCATAAACTACCTGGGAGTGGTGGTGCACACCTGTAATCCCAGCATGCGGAAGGCTGAGGCAGGAGGATCGTTGTGAGTTTGAGACCAGCCTAGGTTACAAAGTGAGCTCAAGACCAGCCAGAGCTGCATAGTGAGAGAGACCCTATCTCAAAAAGCAAAGGAAAAAAAAAAAAAAAGGAACTCCTGAAAGCTCATAAACTAAAGTGCATCTCAATCAGGACTTAACTAGAGAGAAAATTACTCTAGAAATGTTAAAAATGTTTAAATAACTAGAGCTTAAAACTTACAATTTGCTCAGTGTTCTATATGTGTTACAAATATTAAAGAAAATTCAGGGAGCTGTCAATTTAATGTAATATAGGATATTATTTTGGTTGGAAAGCCAAGCACACTACAGCAACAAAACAAGTATTTGAAAGTATTACAATTCACACACCTTTTGTTCAGCTGTGAAAGGGTTTCTAAAAGCTTAAGAACAGAATAGCATGTATTTCTGACCTAACTGTCATTCCATATTCAACAGTTCCACAGACCCTTTAATCTTTGATGCAACAAAATTTAATGTCCCTGGATAACAACGTAGCGTCTAAAGATCTATCACATTTGCCATTTTCTGTGTTCATGTTTACTTCCTCTAAAGGCTTCTCAAGGTAAGCAGACATTTTCTTCAATACTCATTTATTTCTGAATGTGATTTTGAATTCCTCCACTGGGTGGCTATGTTATAATAAAATAATCCATGTTTTGCTTTATTTGCTTTCTATGGTATTTCAAGCATGCACACACATACATACAGACACCCTTTTGTCTTTACCAAAGAAAATCCCAGGATGTCTGCCTTCCTGTTTAGACTCAGAGTGGTCTCGTGGCCTTAACATCTCTCTATTTTCAGTATTAGTAACAATTTTATTCAACATGATCCAGGATATGAAAAAAAATTTGATATCAAAAAATTTATAGGACCACTTTAAAGTAAATTTTTAAAATTAAAAACCATTCTAAAATTTTAATCAATGACCTTAAGAAACTTTTCAGGCATTTCAGCTATGTAAAATAATTTCCATAAGCCATATCCACTAGAATACTTAAATGTAAAGTATTTTCAATTATTTTTTAAATGGTAGAAAAGCCCTACAAATTTCAAAGCAGGAACACAGTAAAGGTTGCTTTCATGAAATAACTTAGTTTGAAAAACCTAACATCTTAATGACATTCCTCCCCTCAAAATCATCTAAGGCCTTCCATAAAGGCAGTCAGTACACAAACAAAGTTTCTGTGTTGCCTGGCTCTACGTATGAAATAAAACGGAGTGTAGGAGAACCACATTACTTCAATAATTAGAAGATAGAGGCCCACCAACAGCTGAGTGCACAAAGAAATGTGGTATTATGCACAAGGGAGTACTACTCAACCATAACAGATAAATTTGAATCATCTGTCGGAAAATGGGTACACCTTAAGACCACAATGCTGAGTGAAATAAATCAGACACGGGAGGTGACATATCGCCTGGTTTCTCTCATATGATAAACTACAAATACAAACAATTTCAAGGGAAAAATGAAAGGGGATAGGATGGAGGGAGGTGGACTTTTTGGAGATATTAAAAGGACTTAAACATGAGGGGGAGATGGAGAGGATGCTAAGGGGAAGGAATCATGAGTTAGATACTCTATGTATATTTACCAGTTCCCCAAGGTGAATGTCATTATCATGTATCACACCCACACACTAATAGAAAAGATGCGAAAATATTTAGAGGAAACTACTACAAAGTGTCTGGAGTAACATTTCAATATCTCTGACATTTTGAAATTCTTTCTAAATTATGAGTAAGGAGTTCACCTGTCTATTGTACTTGACGTATGCAAATGTCATCAGAACATTACCAAATCATTGGTAAACAACTGTCTTGAATCTTTATTGTGCATGCTTTTAAATGCTATGAACACATCAAACTAACAAAATAGATTACAATAGTGCACTTGGTGTTTCTATATAGTAAAAAAACACTGTCTTTAGTCTTCTGAGGACACAATTTTCAACATTTTTTTCACCTACATTCCTTGTGTCTTCATTAAGTGGGCAAAAGATTATTTAGGCATATTTCAATAGGTGGCACCATAGCCCCAAAAATCTGTAAATCATCTCACCCAGAGCTCTTTTACCCATTATAATCCTGTTGCGAATCACCAATGGAATTGACCGGATACATTAAACAGATGAAAATGTAGATAACAGAACACTTGATCTTCAAAGCTGTGTTACTCTAACACGTGTATTGTTACTGAATTTATCTTTCCCAATATGTTTCTTTTACACCTCAAAATGTTTAAATGATTGTAAATCAAAGTTACCTTGAAGTCACACCCCTAAGTCCCCCATCACAGATTTCAGAAAAAGTAGGAATCAATTTTGAGTGAAAGTGGTATTTCAAAAGAAACACTAGGGCTTTAAATAATACCCATTCCACCCCCTTGCAAAAAAGAAAAAAAAAAAAAGAAAAAAATGGAGCATCATCTCTAAGGGGATTTAAGCCTGTCTAGTTTGCAAATCAGCGAAATGTACAAGGACAGAAGAGAGAAACAGAATACATGAAATAAATACTCCCTCTCAGTACTGAGCTAAAAGGAATGATGGCATGTTGTAAAGATTTAAAATGCATACCTGACCTCCATAAATATACAGGCTGTACACAGTTGAAAAAGTAAATCAAGACAAAAAATAAGGGCTGACAAGAACTGATGTGTATGTCACAATAATAATAAAGTACATAAGTAAAAAATAAAGGATTTTATTTTTCCAACTCTGGTATAATTATATAATCCAACAAACAGTATCAG